TGCAAGGAGACAAAATCAAGAGCACTGACTGCAGCAAATGAAACAGTTTTATCTCTGGAATCATAAGTCCCAAGTTTTTTGAAAATAGTAAATTACACAGATAAAAAGTCACCGATATTAAAAGACAGTTATCTTCCTCAGCTATTGCTTCAACTTATTCGAGTAGCTCAGTTTTCAGGCTGACTAGAGGTATCAATTCAGTGACATAATTCTAAGTTTCTGCATAAATGATAAAATAAACATGATGATAAAAATTATAAATGAGAGAGAAGAAAATTTCTGACAGCGTTACTACATTCCCAGAAACAGCTCGTTCCGTGCAGTGGAGTGGAGATGTCCCATCTCATCCTGTTTCTTCAATCCATCACTGAAAAAAACTCCAAAAGGCCACCAAAGACCATCTAAACTACTCACTGTCTTTTTCCAGACACATTTCATATGAAGAGAGTGCCTGAAAGATTTTATAACATTATTTTTTCCCTTCTGTTTCAGCTCTTTTGCCATGATCTCGGCACAGCAGCCACTATTCCCCAGCAAAATTCAAAGAACAATGGACTGCCAATCTGAGGAAGAAGAAGCCTGTGAAGAGCAGTACAACTCTGAAAACTGCACTTGCAGCTCCGAGCATGCAGAATCTGACACAGGTTTAGTCAAATTTAAATGCTGCAATTGCTATGGCATGCTAACATAGCATATTTTGATTTTTGTCAGTCTTCAAACAGTAGATGTCATCATGCAACTTTTCCTTTGATATCCAATTTCCCCCATTTTTTCCCCTCATGTTTGCATATATTATCAGATGAAATCTACAAGAAATACCCCTCTATCTCAATAATTAAGAAATATATTTAAAAAGGTCTCTGGATTTTATTTAGACATCTAAGAATTATTTCTCAGTTAAAATCTCTTACAAAAGAGATATGGTTATAATATGCATTGATTGGGCTGGCACTGTTGAAGCCATGTTATCGCAGATTTTAACAGGCTAAACTGCTTCAACAGCTACTAAGGATTCCAGGCAGGCATCAGTTAAAATCCAGAGCAATTTTTTCCCATAATTCTATGCATATCCTTGCAACAAAAGTTCAGCCATTCAGAATAGTGTCCTTGTGTTCAGTGAGATCAGATGGAACAGCCTCAGCACAGATCTGAAGAACCTCAGCCATGAGTCTCCTCGCTATCATGAGACACCCTAGGACAACTGTAGCACTGACTTGCTGAACAACATTGTGTATGCCAACATAAAAAGCACCTTACAACCCTCCTTCTGTGGAAGAATGCTTAAAAAACAACCACTAAGAGTTAGGTTTTCTTCAGTGTAGGATGTAAATCCTAAGTCCTTATGTAAAAAGCAGCTTGCTGTTCTAGAGCTGCTGGCCTCACAAATGAAATCTACAGCACAAACACCAAAATACAAGCCTGGAAAAAAGCCTCTAGATGTTATTAGCAGAGTTTTATATTTGAATTGGTAGCTTTTCCTAAAAGGCTCATTTCTATCTCTGAATTGCTTATGTGAATACCTAGAATGGCAGGAAATGACCATTGCTCCTTTCACTCCCAGGCCACCCAGACTGTCTGGTTTTGGACAGCAACTAGCCTTCGCTGAAGGGGTGGTCAGGCATTGGAACAAGCTGCTTCAGGGGAGTGGTAGAATCACCACCCACGGAAGTGCTCAAAAGATGTGCAGATGTGGGGACATGTTTTAGCAATGCACATAGTGCTGAGTTGGCTAATGGCTGGATTTAATGAACTTCCAAATCTTTCCCAACCTTAATGATTCTATGATTCAAGACCAATGTCCTGAGAACTTTTCTAGTCCACATGCCCACATACTGTTTTTGTAAAATACTTTTTACCCTTTAACAAGTTGCACACACACCCATGAAATTTCAACTTTTCTCTCACAGGCTCACCAGTAACTCTTAAAATACTGCAGAACTGGGTTCCCAGAGTTTCACACTACTTTGATAAGGAGCACTATACGTACGTTGGCCACCAGATTGTCATTCAGGAGTCCATAGAACACTTTGGAGCCGTGGTATGGCCAGGGGTAAGTACACAAGACCACATGCAGAAAGCTCACGTGACACAAGAGCAAACCAGGACAAGAGCACACAAATATTAAAGAAGCTTTCTTAGATGATACTTCTGACATTGGAAGTTTCCCTATGCAAAATGACGTCCTTCAGCAGAAAACTCTGCCTTAGGGTAATTTGCCAGTTCATGCCAAAAGGACTATGGCACCAAAGCATTTGTACACTGGATGTAGAGATTGAAAAAAAATTCAGTAAGGGAACTCAGGAAGAAACATTCAGCTTCCTCCATGCTTCCAATCAGTCACTGCTGGGAAGTAAGTAATCAGCAGTACTAAAAGGAGGCTGAAAAAGAAAACTGTGAGATGAAATAAATAAAAGATGTTAAAATTACTAAATGTGCTTCTTTTAAAGAAAAGGCTGGAACAGTTTCATTACAGTATGGAAAATCATACTTATAAGCAGTTCTTCAGTCTCTGCTTCTCCCACTCTTAAAAACAGAATTTTACGCAGACTAAGAAAACTTGCCTTTGAGGGAAGAGAGATACAACTGATAAAGACAAGAAAAATCAGGATTTCAAAATTGTTCAGATCCACATTTATTTAAAAAGCTCACAAGAAAATGGCAGACAATTTCAAAACAATAGAGAGCATATGGGTGGGTGAAACAGGATCTTATTCTGAAATGTCAGATCATCAATTCAGACATTAATCAAGTGTCAGAATGCAGATGGTAAAACTCTCCAAGAAAATTGAGAGGTTGCACAAATTGGACTGGTGATTCATTAGCTGTCAGCTTTCCCAGAGCAGGTAGACAGTGTTGCATTATGAAAAGCACAAGAGTTAAAACAGTAACACAATTCTAAAGAAGAGAAGCAAAAAGGGGAAGACAGTTTCTTTGGCATCAGTTTATGTTGTTAATAAACAGCCCACTTATATTCTGCTGATAAAATCTTTACAAAGGCCTAATAATATTTTCATACAGTGCGGTTTTGTTTTTTCTCAAAGGTTATACTATTATCAATAAACAAGTGTAGAGTTTGTAAATAACCAATTTTCAATATCTTCTTTGCTAAAAAAATGGAAACAAAAAACATTTTTCAAAAATCTCTGCTGAAGCCTAGAGTTACTGTATAATAGTGATAGTACAGCATAACATTTATAATAAACCAGAACATTACTTCCTACTTATTGTTAAACTTTGCTGTTTTGACTGTATGGTTCACATCTTAACACTGCCTATCCTTGTGGGTCCCTTCCAACTCTGCTTATTCTGTGATTCTGTCTTGAGCTGTCAGAGGACTCATGTAGAAGTGTGTAGTAAATCAGTATCACATAAACTTAAAATGAAAAATAAACTGTTTTACGTTTTTTTTTAATATTAAAAAACCAGGATACATCACAATTCTTCCCATCTTACATTTCTGTTACACCCTTTAGTGTTTCTCATTATACTAAAAAGACACAACACCCTTATATAAAAACACCTAATGAGTTTTTGTGCAACTTAGCTCTTACCCTCTTATGGATATGTGTTAACCATTTTAGGCACTGGCTTTATCTCAGTATCTGGAATCAAATCAAGAACAATTCAACCTCAAAGACAAAAAAGTTTTGGAAATCGGGGCTGGAACAGGCTTGCTTTCCATTGTGGCCTGCATCTTAGGTTGGTAAATTTGTATTTCCTTTTGAATTTCTAGTGAACGATGATCAAGCCCTGCCATTGTCACTTTAAGGCCATGAAACAACAGCTGAAGTAAACTTTGTAACTGTTCATTTGTTGTTGTTGTTTTTAATGAAAATCAGTGTAAAATACTGTTTTGTTAACTAAATTACTCTCGTTATGGGGGAGTGGGAGGCTGGACCAGTTATGCAGATAAAGCTTCATACATGTTCAACTACGTACCTATGAATTTTGCCCTGTCTCAAGTGAAAGGATAAGAGGAAACAGCCCTAAGTTGTGTCAGGGAAGTTCAGATTTGATATTAGAATTTTTTTTTATTATTTTACAGAAAGGGTGGTTAGATACCCTTAGAATAAGTTGGCCAGGGAGGTGGTGGAGTCACTGTCTCTGGAAGTATCCAAGAGGCATCTGGATGTGGGACTTGGGGATATGGTTTAGGGGCAATTAGGGCAGTGCTGGGTTCATGGTTGGACAGATGATCTTGAAGGTCTCTTCCAACCTTAGTGATTCTGTGGATTAACAAACTCATGTCTTCTTTAGGGGCTCATGTTACAGCTACTGATTTGCCTGAAGTTCTTGAAAATCTCTCATACAATATTTCAAGAAATACAGAGAACTTGAATATGCACAAACCTGAAGTGAGAAAACTGGTATGGGGAGAAGGCCTCAATGAAGACTTTCCTGTATCAACTTACCATTATGATTTCATACTGGCAACTGATGTTGTGTACCATCATGGAGCTCTGGACCCTCTGCTAGCAACAATGGTGTACTTTTGTAAGCCAGGAACAGTATTACTATGGGCAAATAAATTCAGATTCAGTACAGACTACGAATTTTTGGAAAAAGTTTGCAGTATATTTAACACAACCATTCTAGCAGAATTTCCAGAATCAAATGTCAAGCTGCTTAAAGCCACAGTAAGAAAGAATTAAAGAGAAAACTATTACTGATCTTGATTTAGCAGCAGAACCTCACAGATTGGAATGCTTCCCAAGATTATGTTGCACCATCTGTGCATTTATGGTTGTAAAGTTGCAGTTGCATCTAAGTTTTGTATTGCAAATAGAAAAAAACCCAGCAAGGCAAAAGATATAGCAGTTTGTCTCTGGTTGATAAATATGACCTGTTCAAACTGACCAACTCCCCTCCACTGAAGGAACAATGTTAGTAAGAAGGCTTTAACAAAAAGCATTGATCTTCTGGGCTGCACTGAACCTCTGCTGTTTGTAAGCTTTCTTTCAGCACATTTTATTTAGGTACTCATCCAGAAACCAATACAATTTTTAGCTTCAGTATTTTTATTCATTATAAAAATCTTTTAACGTATCAGAGTGAACATGGTGGTATTTTCATCTTCATTTTTGCACATGTATTCTGCTGTGTTTTGTATTTTTAACATTAATAAACATCTATGTATAGCTTTACAATATCTGATCAACATGTAACTGTCTGGCACTTTTATACACGTATCAGCCTGTCCTGATACTCAGCTTAACCAGGATTTCTAAGTTTGCCTGAAATCACTCCAAAATGAAGAGTTTTGAAAATTTACAAGAGTACCTATGCATCAGCAATTCTGAGAAACATTGTAACCATTTGAGAGGTTGAATTTTTCTCAAAAACATTAAATGTAAACTCTTGCAAATAATACAGGTGTCCATTATTTTCATCTAATAAGTAAGATTTTAGCTACTCTTGAAGTAGCTTTAAGGCCTTCATACAATTGAAATTAAGATCAAACATGTTAAAATTCAGTGTACCATAAAAAATACAGAACTTTTACAGGTTTGCAGTTCAAAGTAACAATTTGGAACATAACATGCATGCAGTAATTCTTTCCAAACTAATTCCAAATCCTTGATGTTGGCAGTTCTGGCACATCCATTGCCAGCAATGGGATGCACAATAAAGAAACTCCCTGATGGCAGGAGTTAGGTTAACAGGTATTAAGCCATACCCAGGTGCCCTTACTGATAAATACACACAATTTAATAATCAGCATTCAGTAATGAAAACATGCGTTCTAATAAAAAGTCAAACTTCTCTTTTTCTATCCTGTCCCATATAAATTCATTTTGATTTTACAATTGTTGATTCTCTAGAATACACAATAATCAGGTGGATACATGACAGGAAGCCAGTTTGCAGTGAAAGTTGCACAATGAGTCCATCCAAGCAACTTCATCAGCTGAAGAAAAAAAGCACACATTAAAAAATGAATCTTACTTTTTTTAACATCTAAATCTAAACAAACACTGCACTGATATCAACACATTACTAAAAATGTCTATGATCAGAAAGACAACAGATTGGAGATCTGGTAAGCTGTGAATTTCTCAGTCCTGAAGAAGACCCCTCCTCCCCATTCTATATGATCCACATTCTTTCAACACAATGCACAAGAATTTAATCTTAGGAATTCCCATTAATTCTCCCTTAAGTTCTACAAGCAGTAATTATGATTAATAATAGTAAAAAAACCCCCAGTGGTAAAACAGCAACATAAGGGGATTATTATGCAGGTATCTTTGACTAAGTTGTCTCTACTTCCTTTATGCCCCGAAGTATGTTCCACAAAGCAAATCTGCTAAAAACAACAGTTACTCACAAACAAGTTATTCTAGAAAAAAGAAAAAAAAAAAATCATGTTTCAAATGAAGGCTGAATTACAAAACCTGGATAAAGTTAAAATATTACATTTAGTGCTTTCTAAAATGAGAAGAGTACAAAAAATTCCAGAAGACTTATATCTTACTTCTGAAAGGTTATGCAGCATGAACACAGGCCCCATTCCTTGGCCAAGCACTCCTTACCTGAATGCAGTTTTTTAAGTTGTCTTTTGTTGGCTTTTCTTCTGCAAGTTTTGTGGCAAACTTGAGCCCTCTTCCATACATTTTATTTACCAATGCATGCTTATAGGCAAAAGTCAAAACCTACAATGCAAATTTTAAAAAAACAAAGCAAATTCGTTATTTTAATATCTTACAAGGTTTAACAAGTGAGATCAAATTCTGTTCAGGTAGCAGAAGTGATACAAAATAAAACAATTACACAAGATATTTGCAGTATAACAGATGAATCATAGTAGTAGTCATAAACATGAACTTCCTAGAGACTACTTCTGACTTCACAAACATATTTGACTTCAGAACTTATGTAACACAGATGTCACTATTTTAATTTTTTGTTACATGTCTAGCTTTTTTGGATTTTCAATCCCTACAGGCAACTGTAAGGCACATTAAAAAGATAATTAAAGAATCACCAACCAGGCAGGTATATTTTTGACCCAGAGAAGCAAAAACCAAACTGAGAATTTTAATTCCTAGGTAGTCACAAACTTACTGCAGAAACAAGTATGGATGTACACAGTGAATGACATATACGGACAAAGACAGAGAAATGTACATAATTATAAACAAGCAATGAAGACAGGTAAGCATGAAGACAAGCCTCAGGTTTTAGGTCAGCTCCTCACTATTGGTAACTTTTTAAGAAGTGATGATAAAAAAAGCTCCTTCCTGATAATACTCATTTCAAAAAAGCAATCCTAACCAATGCAGTAGTTCATGTGAGCAAATGAATGTGTCTACCTAAGACTTAATAAATGTAGGTTCTTAACACCCGACCACTGACAGCATTCAGGGTGTTGCAAGATGGTTCAAACCATTTCACCAGTTGCAGCACTAAGAATTAGAGCAATCAAGACACTTTCATATATTCCCTTTGGAACACTCACAGTAAACAAGATATTTTTTATTTTTACTGAAGAGTGACATAGCAGTATATTTGGTGAATAAGGCGGTGTGTCTATTGTTGGCAGTGTTTATGAAATCTTATTAGAGCTTGCTCTTCATTTCCCCTCATTCACTACAACACTTTTCCTTTGCTCTGACTCTGCAATAAAGGTTGAAGATTTCCCACTTAAAATATCCCATCAAGAAAAGCTAACAGAAACCCTTCAAGGATGTTCAGAAATACGTTTTGCATTACAGAAAAAAAAATTAAATATGTCTCAAGAATATAAACATTAAGGAACCAGAGATCTGAATCTTGCCAGGAGTGAAGAACCTGTCTAGTTTTAGCAGCCTGAATACTTCCACTTAATGTTAATCACATGCACAAGTCTTTGCAGAATCAATAAATAGTTAAAATACAAAAAAGAAATAAACTTAATTATCAAGCAAGTCAAGGTGTAATTTTAAAGCTTCAAGACAACTATGCCAAAGTATTCAAGAGTTGCTCGTTCTTCTGTCTTCAAATACTTATTTTGCTGTGTTGAAATATTCACTTAAGCTGTTGTATCTTACAAAACACACATATATGCAACAATGAGCATACAGCACCATTCACATATACAATTTTCCAAATACTGCTGTTGGAAAAATACTCTGCATGCTGCATTCTCAATCCAATTATTTTGGATATTTTCCTAAAGCAAGACACATTAGCAAACATTTCTGAATAACTGCTCAGTGGATCTATTAGCAAACTTAGCTGGCTAACTAAACTTAAAAAAAAATTTCTCTTCTGTAAAAGATGATAGAACCACAAAACAAAAAAAAACGAACAAAAAAAAAATCAAATGAAAAATGCATTGGAGCTCTCAGCAAATATAACATTTCTGAGGCTAACCAGAAATAATGTCACTGCTCTATGAAGAAAGCTCTTACCTGACCCTGTAAGTTTTGAATGGTTATTGAACATCAGTGATAAAGGCAGGAGGAAAGCCACTTGACAGCATTTCTTTCGTAACAGGGCTTCCTAGAGTTTTTGTGGCAAGAAAACAAAGCATTTTACGAAATACCCTTGCTCCGGCTAAATAAAAGGTTGGGTATTTCTAAATGAGAAAAAGGTTCTCTGCTGAACCAAAGGATTTAAGACAATGCTCCAAGAGCTCCTGACATAATAATTTCTGTCTTAGTGTTCGGAAAAAAAACCCCAATCAACAATCAAAGTTCAGCAAAACTACTAAGAATTCATTAGCACTTCAGAAGTTATGAACAATGCATGAGTTGCTTTGAAAAATCAGAATTTGTTTACAAACAAAAGATGTTAGATAAGAAATAGTACTTTACAATTTCTACATATATTGGCCAAATTATGTCTTATAGATAAAATACTGCAAGCTTTATAAGATCACAGAAGTAAAAGTTATCATTCCTTGATATGTGTAAGGAAAACATAAATTGGAGTGCTATTAAGATATAACAGAGAAAACAGCTGCTACCTGAATGTATAAAACCATGAAAGAAACCTATTTTTAGTATCCAAAACCAAATTGTTAGATGAGACAACAGTAATGACTTTGAAGTATTTGATATTATTTCATAACTATATAATGAAATAATAAATTATATAATAAATACAATGAAGGCCAGCTTTTGCATAAAAGCAATATGGGCCAGAAATTGTACTGAGAAAAGGCAATGCATGCTTCTAGAATACTGGGGGAAAAATCACTGTTAAGATACTTTATTCCCCAACTAATGGCCTGGAATACTGCGTGTGCTAGGACACAGACCCATGAATGTGTTTGGTTGTCCACCTCCTAACTAGCCATTGGCTATAAAGATGCATATTTAGGACAGTAAAATGATGAAATGATCTCTCTGAAGACATCTGGGGGGCTGAAGTATTTAAAAGCTAAAAACACTCTTTAAAAAAGTATGGTTGAATCCAGCAATACTAAAATGCCCAATGAAACTTTCCTAGTATCCTAATGTTGTTACCTATGGAAACAGACTTGTATAATCAATTAATTAATCATTTAAAGAGCTGATTAAAATATTCCTACATTTATCTATAGCTAAAATACAAGGTTAAACAATACAATCTCTAGGTAATATACTCCAGCTATTTATAAGAACACTAAAGTTGTAATATTTACAATTCCCAACAAATGAGCTTTTACAGGTTCATATACATCTATAGTAATAAACTAGGCTTTCTTAGCTACGCTTGTTGATTCTTCTGTGCTCTACTAATTGCCTTATTATAAATAAAAACAACATTAATAAAAAAAATATTCATTTTCATGGAAGCAAGGGGCATCAAAGGAATCAAATATCTAGCAACACATTTTTGGCAGTGACTGAATAAAATCAGCTGGAGACAGCTGCATCTGACAACATAAACTGTATCAGGAAAAACAATCCAGGTTAAAGATGTTTAAAAGATAAGATGGAAAGGTATGGGCCTTTTACTTGTTTTTAAACTTATTTTTAAGTGTGACTTTTTGGTTTTTTTTCCCACAGCTAATAAAGGTTGAGGGGCATTACATTCTACAGATTGGTCATTCCCAATAACAAACACATAAAATCCTACTACTCTCCTGTAGCAGTTGTGTTTGAAACAGGATTTTGGCCTAGAAAATTTACATGTTCTAGGAAAATAAACTAAAGTGCTACCATAATCATGTTTGCATAATCTATCAAATACCTGCTGCATAAAGCTGCCTTAACTGGAGTTTATTTGAAATGCTTTTGTGTACACAGGGGACATAAATATTTTCTTTTGTGTTTAGTTTAAAATGAACGTTCAGATAATAGCTGAAAGTACGAACAAATGCGCTTACTATCAAAATTGAAGTTACTTCCCTACATACTTGCTACAATATGGTGACAAGCAGGTTACTTCAGTGACAAACAGACAAGTCAAAGGAACTACCAAATGCTGTGGTGCCCAGGTGCTACATCTGCAGAGGAGAGATGAAACAAGGGACAGTACTTTATTTACTAGAAGGTGAGAAGAAACACACAGAAAAGTGATGATGCTCCTGATTCCACTTTAACCTAAAAGAAAGCATGGTCTCTCTTGGTTTTCAAAAATTTACTTAGCCTTTCAATTACTGACAGCTGCATGAACTTTACAGGAAGCTTAGAGCTAAATGCACTTAGAGCAATGCTTCTATCTTAAATCATATAAATATATAACTCAATGATCAGTGCAGTACTTAAATGCCTGATTTACATCCTTTCTCACCCAGATGTTCCATCTTTCGAGTGCCAGTATTACACAGCCATGTCTACATAAAAGAAGAGCTCCACGTTTTCATCTCCAACACACTGCTTCAGAATAAGCTGGCTGTCTCTTGACAACTCTTCTTTGAAGGAATTTCACACAAGGTCTATATCCCCTGTCTGACTTGGCTGCTCCACTTTCAATCTGTGCTGGTTTAGGATGGGCTGATTAGTTTTCTTCACAGCAGCTGGCATGGGGCTTTGTTTTTGATTTGTGCTGCAAAGAGTGTTGATAAGGCAGAAATCTTTTAGCTGTTGCTGAGCGGTGCTTGCAGAGTCCAGACCTTTTCTGCATCTCATCCCACTGCACTAGTGAGAAGCTGGTGGTGCACAAGGAACTGGGAGCAGATACAGCTAGGACAGTGATGCCAACTGACCAAAGGGATATCCCACACCATATGGCACCATACTCAGCAAATAAAGCTGGGTAAGAAGGAGAAAAGGTGGAGGTTTAGAGTAATGGTGTTTATTTTCCCAAATCATGGCTGCATATGATGAAGCCTGGCTTTCCTGGAGATGGCTGAACACCTGCCAGCCCATGGGAAGTGGTGAATGAATTCCTTGATTAGTTTTGCTTGTGTGGAAGGCTTTTGTTTTACTGACTGTTTTTGCACCTTACAAGTAGCTCTGTAGGTCTCATAACAGTCAATCAGTTTAGATTTCAATCTGAGTAATAAAACTCAAAGTATGAAAAAGAAGACAAACCTACTACATAAACAGGATGGAAGTTATTTCCATATGAAATGCTACAAAAATCTAGATAAGTTTTGATCTTTTAGTACCAATTTAACAATACAGAAGAATCAATTTTCAGAGCACAACTGGAATATACACTTTGACAAATCCATGGTTAAGACAGTCAAAGAGAGAGGTTCCTAATCCGTAGAACTCAAATCAGAGTTACTCATTCAAGGCCCAAAGCACACAGCTCAGCAATGCTATCTGTCTTGAAATAAAAGCCAAAGAGTAAAACTCCCAACAAAACGTCTATATTGGAATTCTTCCACTGAAATTATTCCCATCAGCTTTAAAAAAAAAAAAAAAAAGAGCAGGAGACAAATAAACCAGGGGTTACTGTGCTGGAGCGAAGTACTGCATTTACAAACAGACAGCAAGAAAATCATGTGCCAAACAACGTGACTGAAGCACAAAATCTGCTACCACATGATATTATCGTCAGTTAACGATTAAGAGAGATACGCTGAAAAGATGTATGTGCACACGGACATACACATTAAAGTAAGGAGGGTAAGCACCATCAACCTTCCTGACCAGGCCTCCACCAAAAGCACAAGTTCTTACAGGAGGTTTATCTACTGTGAAGGAAGTTAAATGCTTTACCTTGTTTGTTTTTCTCTACTTGTATAAGTTTTTCTTTTGTAACAATCTGAAGCACTTTGGTAATTTTACATAATTATCAACAAATACCCTGGTCACTTCACCTTCCACTAAAACCCAGCTGTATGTGACAGTTAAGTTCAGAAACTAATTAACATCAATAGCTCAAAAGTTAAAAATACAAAGTCATAACCTCTCTAAATTAAAAGCTACATAATTAATCACCTACAATGGATTTTTTTTTCCCTTCTGAAATTGCTGTCTTGAACAAAGGATAAAAAAAATTCAGATCTTGGGGTCAGGAATACTGAAATTAGAGGGAAGTCTGTGCTAATAAATATGTTAGTGTAATTATTTCCTAGGGTTTCTTCCTTTACCTCTACAGACATTACTGACAGCAAAACACAAAACTTCTCTTGTCCATAGTGTGGAAGAGGCTACAGCATGTAGGACTGAACAGGGTGGGGTGCTGCACACCTCTGTGTGTACAGCTACAAGAGCACAGAGGTTAATTGAAAATATTCCCTGGAAAGTACACAAAGAAGCAATTCAATAAAGGAAGCAGCTTTTTTGTGGAAATCTGGTACTGTCTTACAGCCTTCCCTTAACTTCTACATTCACTTGAACAGAGACAGGCCTACCATGGATTTGACAGGCTTGACAAAATCTCTGTAGAAAAAGGTCATAAAGGAAGCACAATGTACATGGGGGGACATCATGGCAAAGTAGAAGGGAGGAATGTACAAGGCTGTGCATACAAAGGCCGTGCATAATTCCAGAAGAAACCATCAGAAAACCCAACATGCAAATGAAAAAAAACCTGCTCTGGTCTCTTACCTTGCTGTCAGAAAGATCAGTCCATTTTGTTGTTTCCCAGAATGTCTCTGTCAAAGCTTCTGAGCAGCTTTCATGATCCTCATCTTTGCCTTCTGCATCACTGGAAGCAGCCCCTTCTTGGGTCTGCAGATGAAGAAGTTGGTCAGCCAGCGCACTTCCCTTTCGACAAAGTGCATCCACTAAAGTACTCTTCTGTTTTTCCATTTCACTAGGAAGAAAAAAAAAAAAACAGTATGAAAAATACTTAGCATCTTTTGTGGATACCTCCTTAAGAACAGAAACAGTGCTAACTTAGTTCAAGCTAAGAAGTTTACAGTGCCACCCAAGGCTATTTACTATAAATTAAACTAACCATAAAAGATTACCCAAAGACACTATGCATTCAAAGATACTCAATCATTCTTCTAAGTATGAAACGCCTTAGATTACTTAAGGCAAGGGCAACTCAAGATTCTAAAAGTAAGTCAGCATCTAGAAATATAGCTTTATAGTTCCTGGCATTATAAACAGAGAGTTGAATCCACCACTAACATAAGCAGATATAATTCAGCTGACTTCAAAGGAATTGCATCCATTTAAAGCACCACTGAATTTGGTATTCAATTTCAGCTGTTATATTCAAAACACATGACCTAATGGATCAACTTACCAAGAAATGTCTAGAATTAAGTTTATTATGTCAAGGCTTTGCTTTTATATCAGCAACTCTAGAATTACACACAAATCTAGATTCAGGATAGCTAGAACAGACAGACTAGCTTCTCTATTGAAATCTGCTATTTTATAGATAATCCACAAGGATGCATCTCCCATTTTAAGGGCCTAATATTCACATCTGCCATTCTTTTACTAAAACAGCACCATGCACAAATCCATCACTTATTCTCCAGACTAAGGTGTCACCTTCAAAATACTATCTTCCTAAGGATATACATACTCATAGTACAGAAGAACAATCTAAAACTAAAGAAAAACAATGGGTCTCAAATACTCTGAAGCATGGCCATCACACTTTTTGAAACAAAATCTCTTGCAAGCAAACAGTTACTTCTGTGGCTGATATAAATTTTGTCTTCAAATACAGATGGGAAAGGTTGCAAAATATAAAGAAAAGGCAAGTAGCATTCAAAACAGATACTTCTACTAATACTCCAGTGGTCCCTCTGAGCTCAGACTAAGCTTGGTACAACAACTTAAAACCCCATTTTTCTGATACCTTTAAATCCTGAAAGAACCCTTGTTTATTTTATTGAATAAATAAAAAGTTGGAAGTTTCAGTGTCCCTGCATTCTGGAGATATAATAAGAGAACACAACAATTGTGTTGTCATATTTTAAATTGTGTGTACCACACAAAAATAATACAAGTTATCAAAAAAAGTTGCAGTCATTCCATTTCTTACATGCAGAGACAAAGTACATAGACTACAGAAATAGGATGCAAGAAAATTATTTACTGGGTAGGTACTTTTTTATAGTAGTTGCATCAGGTCTGGGATCAGTCTTCATGGCAAAATATACTGCTAATGCTGTTTGATCAATATGAGAGATTACTGTATTTGCAGCTTCAACGATTTCATCTAGCCTTTTCATTCGTTCCTAAAAGAAGAATATAAAGATGTTCAGCACCTCATTGTTGATTCTACTAACATTAGGGTGATTGCAAAGCTATGCAGAAATAACATTTGATCATTCAACATGTTATTTTCTCAATTTCATTCAAATTTTGCTTAAAACACCCTGGAAAGTCTTCAAGATTTCCTGCGTACTTAAGTCCATTTCACTGAAAACAAACTGTGAAATACAGCTGGAGATTGGAATATGCAAAATGCAGAGTTTACAGAAAGAAAATCACCTTTCAGTACAAATCAGTACTTTTGAATAATGTAGCAGTTATTCAATTCAGAAATTAATATAAAATCAGAATGAAATGAAAAAATATTCAAGCTGGCGGCATATGCACAGAGGTGTTTGTCTTCAAGATGAAAAAAACACAGACAAACTGCTCTGTTGACAGTTCCCATTTTTGAGGACAACACTGGAAACCAGATTTAGCTGTGTCACTTTAGGGGGTTACTTTCCTCAGCTGTCTCAGTTATGCTGCTAGGAGAAATTACCAGTCCAGAAGAGAAACAGAATAGGATATGTGTTTGTCTCAGTAGGCACCATTGAGAATAAAACTATTGTAGACTACATAAGTATGAAAACTTAAAATGTGCTTAACTGAACAAGGCATAACTTGATGAGCAAACACACTCTGGTGAGGCATATTTCTTTTATTCTGCTGTGGAATTAAATAAATCACAGCCAAGGGTGGTACCTGTCACTCTAATTAGAAATTTCTGCTTTTTAATACTGTGTACTGTAACTTCAAGTTCAAATGTGCACAAAGAAAGACTTAGTTGTTTAGGCTACATGGGTGTACTGAGACAAATCAAGTTTAGGAAGTGTTAAATAACCTTTTCAGAATCCAGCTGATGAAGTCTTGCAACGTACAGAGGAAGATGATTAGGAAATGCTTCTTTCAACTCACTATACATATCAGTCGTATCCAGCCTAGAAGAGAGGAGGATATAGCATGAAAGTATAGATTCTGAGTATTTTTGTGAACGTCAAGCTTGTGTAGTAATGACAGCAGACATACTTGGTCATCCACTGTATTTTTAAGTCTCTTAAAGCTTCAGCAAATTCTTCTTTTGCATCTTTTTCTTTTTCCTGTTCTTTTTCTTTCTCTTTGCTGCCATTTTTACTCTTTGATGGTGATGGTATCAGATGATAATGAACAGTAAGGACATCCTGGAGGTGGGAAAAGAGAAACACATTCAGAGGGATACAGTACACGTTTTTTTAATGTCATATGAAAGATAAATCATAGCCAGCAACTACTCTGAGCTACACATACAATGAGTAAGGGTTCTGAGAGCAAAGATATTAGACAGTAAAAATTCAGGAACTGCTTTAAGTTTTTATTTTAAGCAATGTAAGGATGTAAATATTAGAACAGCACACTAGGCATAAGAAAAGAAAACCTAAAATTTAGCTAATTTGACATTTTTACATTTACATAATTTTACATAATATTAGTTAGGGAATAAGGTAGGTGTTTTTTTGTTTGTTTGTTTATTAAAAAAATAAATAACTTGGTTAAAAGGATAAGGGAAAAAAGGCATTCTATCCTACAAATCTGGCAATAAACAAATGAATAAAAATGGCTGAATTCTAAAAAAATAGTACCACAGTAGGAAAAACATGAAACATGTCTGTCATAGGATATCTTTATTACTCCCAGGATACTATTTCTTCCATGTGCATACTGAATTAGCTGATGCATCCACAGTCAATTGATTTCCAGTTTGCTGCTGCAGACTGCCCAGTTTCGCCTGAATCTCAATTCTAATTAAGTGTACACAACAGCAAGATTTTTTTTTTTAAAACCTTAAATGGTAGCATAGAAATATGACTATAGGTTGAGTTTATGCTACACTAGACAATAACCAGCAGGAGAGAACCAGTTACAGCTATTTAAAAGGAAAATCCTAACTCCGACCATGTTCTTGAAGTCCATTTCCTGACAATTTACATACAAGTTTGCAAATAAGGTAGCAACAGATTCCATCCACTGCTTCTAAAATATCAAAATGCAGGGTGAGGCCATTTGTTTGTTTTGGTTTTAATGTTGCAATCTTTAAACAAGCCTCTCCCTAACCAGGGAGGGCACATGTCCCATTACTTTACATACAGGATAATTCACAGAAAAGATAACATAAGTTTCAATCCTCCAGATACCACTACTCCAGATACCAGGTTGCAACATGGTGCAAAATACTGAGTTGCATGCTCAATAACTGTGGCAATTTAATTATTCCTAGCAATTATTCCAGAATACGTTTGTGAGAATGCGTCCCATAAATCAGGTCAGTGTTGTGTAGTGAAATTAACCCTTGTGTATAAGATGGAGTTAAAGTTACTTAAATAGCAAGTAAAATGATGACAGTAACTGCAATAATGGACTTCAATGCTACACTTGTGAAACATTCAAAAACCATGCTGCAGAAAAATTTTATTTGAACTTGCAGTTCAAACAGACCAGCATCTTGCTGTGGGTTACTGAATACAATACTGGGAAAAGTGACTTCAATAGTCCCTTAAAAAAAAATTTCCAGCAACTTAATATGGAATCAAAGAATCACAACATGGACATTTGAGTAATTTTTTTGAAAACTAGTTCAGATAACTAAATCTGCATTAAAGTGTAGCTTTCACAGAACTATCCTGCACCCATGCATTTCAAGTATGAAGTGCACAACCAGTCAATACACCTAAATGAGCCTCCAGCAAGACCTAGGCCAGAGCACGCCGTAACAGGTCATGGAAATACGTACACACAGGAAAATACAGAGGTCAGGAACATGGCGTGGGGCTTACTAAGGTACTAAGAACAGTAGAAAGCAACAATACAGTTCACTAAAGCAAACCAAACATTTTAAGAAGTCTAAGAAGCGAGTTCAGCACAAAAAATTTACAGTATGTTCTAAAACATGTTCTCCATTGAGACTAGTATTTTCCTAAAAAAGAAACCTGCCTAAGAAATAGTCTTCCAAGAGTTGAGGACTTCCTTTTTCAAAGTCCATTTTCATTTCACTTGACAGCATATTTTTGGAGTTATATATGTAGATGACCTCAGCATTCTCAAGCTTTGTCTATATAAGAAGGCTCTAGAACTCTGGTTTGTTTCAAACCAAACATAACGGGATTAACAAAATCTCACTTACATGGATGAACACCTGCATTTTGAGAAACTAACCCTATGTAGCTAAACCATCAACAGTAAAATATCATCTCCCCATGATCTCACATAGGTACTTTTGGTCTCATGAGGTTCTGCAAGCCTTACAAGCTATGACCACTGAAAGGAAAACAATGAGCTTCAGGATCCAGGCACCCTCCTCTCAAAAGAGCCTTACAGACCAGACTTCTCTACAGACCTCAAAATTATTTCATGGGATAAATAAAGTTTAGGTTATTATCACATTTAACTAATTATTACAGGGCATTAAGAGGGACTGAAGGCTTATTTATTTTATCTGCAAACACTAGGATCACTTATGACACTTGGCAACACCCTAGGTAGCAGAAGATCTCAGAATGGCACTGTCATTGCCATTACAGAGACATTCATCATTAGAGAATAAGGAGAACAAAGGCAGCTCTTCACAATTCAACACTCCATTCTGTTTTCTTACTCAAATTTCTCTCTGACAGGAACAGAATTCCTTGAGTAGTGTACTGGATTTCATTTTATATATACCTATACAAAGATAGAGAGCTATAGACAGAAAAAGACAGCAAGTGAGCATAATATCCACTGAAAAAACTACTTTAAGGAAACTTTCAAATTTATCCTCTAAAAAGACATGCAGCATTGAGAAATTGGGAAGCATACAAGATACACACTTTGGTCAGTGTACTCTGTGGAGTCTCGTAAGCCTCACTGGGTTCACTTTTAACTGAACTACAACCTACACACATAAACAAGCACAGTGCCATCAAAACAGTCACCTCTTAAAAGAGCTGAATTAACAGTTATTTTGGCATCAAGATTTCAATTTAGATTTCTGTCTGGAGTTTTAACATCTAGTACTTATATGTAAAACACATATAAAAGTATTATTATTTGCACTTCAAAGCATTCATAGCAGAGCTAACCACAGGATAAAAAGCTCCCTCTAGGAACACATCCCAGGTCTCATTTTCCATTTAATAAGTATCTTCATATTAATGCCTACTTGCACATACAGATGAACATACATATGGAATTTGAATCTATCTTAAGATGTATGCAATTTGTGCAGCGTTGCTTATTTTTATGGCAACTCTCATTTAATGGAAAATTAATTAAGCTTCTTGGAGTCACCAGGCAGGCTTACACAAAATTGTATCAGACACACACTTCATCCCATTTTTGAAGGCCTGATGGTTAAACAGGGATAGTATCTGAATGCTCAAAGGAAGTCACCCTTCTACATTTGACTTCACAGTGGTATTTATTAGTCTTCCACTAGTACTTATCAATATTTGCCTAATGCATTTCTTACTTTAAACTGGAAGAAAGGATAGCACAATAGGGAAAAAAGTGTAGAAACTTTCCACCCCTTGGCTAATTGTTACAAACTGCTGTTCAAAAGCTGCATTATGTAAACCAACAAAAAAACATTCTTACAGACCTGAAAAAGTCAATTATATGTTTTTCATTCTAAATATGTTCTATACAAAGCTTGAAGACAAGGAGAAAAAGTAATCCGATTGTAACTGTGTTACAAATGAAAACAAAGACACCTGTTTATTATGTGGCAGGAACCCCTTGACATTTTTGCACAGTATAAAATAATTAACTATCTTTGGAAACCTACGCTGCTATTTCCTGGCATAACCACAAACTGCTTTTATGCAAAACAGAGATGCAGTCAGGTGGACTGAAACCTGCTGAACATCGAGGTCCAGAGGGTGGTCAGTGGCACACAGCTGGAGGTCAGTAACTAATTGTGTGCCCCAGGGGTCATGTCTGGATTGAACCCTGTCTGACGTCATCATTAGTTACCTTGGATGATGGAGGCAGAAGGCACCCTCAGCACATTTGCTAGTGACACCAAACTGGGAGGAGTGGCTGCGATGCCAGGGAGTCTGCTGCCATCCAGAGGGACCTCAAAAGGCTGCAGAAATGGGCTCAACAGGAGCCTCATGAAGTTCAACAGAGATCAATGCCAGAACTGGAAAGGAATAAATCCAGGCACACTACATGCTGGGGGCCATCCTGCTGGACACCAGGTTGAATATGAATCAGCAGTGTGCCCTTTTGGCAAAGAGGGCTACTGATCTTACAAGAGGGCCTGGAACTATCTTTGAAAAATATGAAAAATCTACACATACTTTTCTGACTGCATCACTGAAGAAATATATAAACAAGTTTTCTGTGCTGGAGAACATCTTAACTGCATGTAAACTTATGACAGGCAGGGTAAATACCAAAATTTTTAAACTAGGAAGTTCTCTGAGTTGCATTCTCAGCAAAATGCATGAATTATTGGAGCTCTTACAGAACAATGCTCTGAAATACACTGTGTTTTATTTCACAGAATATGCCGAGTTGGAAAGGACTGAAGGATCATCAAGTCCAGCTTCTGGCCCTGCACAGCACTATTCCCAAGAGTCACACCACATACCCAAGAGTATTGTCCAAATGTTTCTTGAACTTTGTCAGGCTGATGCTGTGACTTCTCTGGGGAGCCTGTTCCTATGCCCAACCACCCTGTGGGTAAAGAATCTTCTTCTAATATCCAACCTAAACCTCTCCTGACACAACTTCAGGCCACTTCAGGTCCTGTCACTGGACACCACAGAGAAGAGACCAGTGCCTGGGGCTCCACTTCCCGTCATGAGGAAGTTGCAGACTGCAATGAGGTCTCCTCTCAGTCTCCTCCAGGCTGAACAGTCCAAGTGACCTCAGACACTCCTCATACAGCTTCCCCTCAAGGCCCTTCACAGTCTTCGCTACCCTCCCCTGGACACTAATAGTTTAATATCTTACTGACATTGTGGCACTCAAAACTGTACACAATATTCAAGGTGAGGCCACCCCAGTGCAGAGCAGGACAATCCCACTGGTGCTGCTGTGACTGATGACCCCCAGGACACACTTGGCTCTCCTGGCTGCCAGGGCACTGCTGACTCACGTTCAACTTACCGTCAACCAGGACGCCCAGGTCCCTTTCCATGGCACGGCTTTCCAGCCTCCCATTCCCCAGTCTGTACTGTACATCCAGGGTTGCCCCAGCCCAGGTGCAGAATCCAGCACTTTCCCTTCCTGAATTTCATATGGGTTGTGATTGCCCAGCCCCCCTTTTGTCAAGGTCTCTGCAGGCCCTGCCTGCCTTCAAGGGAGACAACAGCTCCTCCCAATTTAGTACTGTCTGCAGACTTGCTCAGTGTCCCTTCCAGTCCTGTGTCCAAGTCATTATGAAGATGCTGAAGATGGAGCCCTGAAGAAATCCACTAGTTTATCTGCTGCTAGTATACTGATGAGTAATAGATGGAAGTAACAAGGAGGACAACTTCTATTTTGGCTTGGGGGGTTTTAGTGCTCAGATCTGAAAACAAATCTCTGTTCTAAAAGCAAAGAGGGGGAAAGAAAACCACAAACCAACCAAAAAACCACAATCTCTGCAATCTGTTTAATAGGTTTTGTTATTCAAATTATATTATTATTACAGTTTAATTCCCTTGTTAGAGATTCACTTAGTGAAGAACTTATACCCTATTTACCAGGAAGTCATGCATTCACATGGGATTTTAAATTATCTCTTTGAAAGCAGTCTGCATGATTTTCAGCAACATACACTAAAATCCTTCTTGGAAAGCCTAATCTCACTCCTTCATGGTTATTACACCAAGATGAGAGTAAGTTAGCAGATTCAGGTTCCAGCTTACTATTCACAAAATAATGGAATATGACTATGTTATTCATGGTTCTCAACAAAAATCCTGGCTAATCTGCATGTCACTCCAGAACACAGTACCTTGAAATCAACAGCAAGTAAATACCTTTCCAACTTAAGAACAAGAAAAAACCCAGTAACCTTATGTAGGTAGTTTAGTGAAATATATTTTTGCATTTTTTTAAACAAACAGTTTTACACTGACTCCTGATAAAATACTGTACTACCTGATGTGAAAATACAAGAAAGCACAATACTAAGCACTGTTATACTAAAAGTCACCCCTTTTCTAATCTGGTACATGCTCCAAAATTCATTCTGTGAATACTACTACCTGCTATGTGACTGTATGAACTCTAGCTTCCTTGTATGTTTTTTATGACTGTAAAGAAGACAACTCTCAATTTAGGAGACTGGGGATACAGTTAGATATTCAATCATTCAATTCAAAGTGTTAGGTTCATATTTGATTTTCAATTTGCAGACAGAATAGGCAGAAACACTTGCCACAAAAAAATCTTGACCACAAAAGCTGAACATTCCTGTGCATTTAAGAACAAGAAAAATTGCAGACCACTAACAACACATGCATTTTTACAGCATTTATTGCAGAAGTATACAGATGCTCACGTGCCCCTCAGCTATGTGTTACAGTAGTGTTTTGTCATTCTACCAGTAAACATACTTAAGATGCTGAAGTAAATAACTCAGGTCTAAGCAAGTAGATGAAGGAGACAAATTAAAAACCAAGACTGGTAGACAGATTCTTTAAGTCATATGCAAAAAGACTTCAGTATATCTTTTTCAAAAACTAACATTCAGTACCTTTTTAAATTTTCCTTGTCGCTTTGCTGCAGACTGCCCCTGGGAGTTAGAATAACATACTGTAAGAAAACATGCACACACCACACAGGATGGAGACACCTTCTCTGTACAATTATGGTTATACTTCCAACCTACAGATTTTCAACTTTTAGAGAGTCACATGTATGATCAAACATGCTCTTAAAGCATGCTCTTTCAGGTTTTGAAAATTAATAACCAATGCATTACTATATACAATCCAGTACTCCTGCAATATAAGCAAGTGTTGTTAACCATTACAGAAATTCAGCCTCAGAATTTCAGATTTTTGACTGTTTAGTAGCATTGTTCTCTTTCATAATAAATACAGAGAAATTAGATATCCCTTACCTTGCATCCACCCACTGACTTAGAGACAACTTTGCTGCCTAGTCCTCCTTTTTTGTCTCCTGGTACGTACTGAGGTTCACTAAAGGCAGCAGAAAGTATCAGATGCTATTTGATGCCATCCTTTTTCCATTGAAATATGACCATAACAATAATGCCTTCAGCTATGACATGAGGAACACTTCAGCTAGAATTTCTTCCTGTGTAAGGTCTTAAGTATTCTCCATCATATGAAATTGGACAGGCTGTATCTACCTATCTCCTGCTTCCTATCCCAGAAACCATTGTATATAGCCACTTAGTCTGGTTTTAAAATAAAATATTCAAGATTGTAACCAACAGTTCAAGGAAGTGCATAATTCTAGCTAGGGAAACTAAATTATCATGGATTTCATACAAATACACTTGCGACCTTGCAGGTATCACAAAGAAATATTAAACTAGGTATTTTTAGAACTCCTAGTTACTGGGTTTTTCCTCACTGATAAATAAATTCTCCTGATACATGCAATCTGCCCCAAAAGTACAACCATTCAGATTGAATTAACTAAACTTTTATGCTTAACAATATCTAAAGGTACATGACAACCTACTCTCAGAAACTTATTTCCTATGAAGAGATACTCTAGTTTTATACATGGTGTTCAGCCACATCTAGTGGTATATGCACATGTATCAACTACCTCTGAGTACTAACAATCATCAGGATTGACTAAAATTTAGTCTCAGGCTTACCACCTGTTTAAAAACAGCTAAGGAAATCTTTTAAACACTAGCACCAGATACACAGAAAAGTGACAGTTACTATTAGTCACTGTTGCATTATAGAGTCATACAAGTTAAAAACCATTTTTCACAGGATGCTGTGTTATGAGCAAAAAAAAGACCTTTCATCTTTTTTTCTAGCTTCACACACAGATCTTATACCCTTCTGCTGAAGCATACAATCATACTAGTGGTTGACAACAACAGTGTGTAGCAGGTAAGAAAATCTGTTTATGCATTTGAGTCAGCAAAATTCCTACTACTTGGTAACAGTAATATATATGTGTTTAGAAAGCACATGTTTCTGCTGAATACTACATGCATGCAACAAAAAGTATTACAGAACCAACATGCACATAACACTATATGCATGTATTTTTCATTCAAAAATTACATTAAGCTAGGGAGTTACATAAAGTCAGTTTTAAAGCCTTCACACCAACAAGAAAGCAGTTGCTTCTAGAAATATTTCAGAGCAAAAAATATTTCACAGAAAAAGACTTAAAACTCAATTTAGAAAATGCAATTAAATTTGAAATTAGAAGATGAAAACAATACTAAAACTACTTAGAAGTTATGCTGACTTTATATGAAACAACTGCTTCTAAAATGTATTGTTACCAAACCTAATGCTCTTTAAAGTACTAATCCCAAACAGTACAGCACTTCCTGGCATGCAATTTGCTTGCTAGAAAAAAATTCAGAAAAAAACCCCATCATCCATTCCATATACTCACAGCTTTCTTTCCAAGTTCTGTTTTAGACAGAGTAAGACTTCCTGCAAGGTAACATCCTGGTCCCGCTCCTTTAGGTATTCTGTTCAAAGAAAGTAAATTTAGTGTTAAAACCAGGCTCACTAAGGTTCCATGGAAACTACAATAAAGATGCCAAACAGGGAAAGAGCAACATGAGGAATAACCAAGCTGAACAGGCAGACACTATTAAAGTACCATTTTAGTGGCGTGCAGAGGCAGCTGCCTAGATGCAGATGAGAAAAACAACACTTCATAACTTACTTGTCATCAGGCAGGGATGTAACAAAGAATGGCTGACTGTGTTTCGGTGGTAATGTCAAACTGTTGGATTTCTTCTTCCCTAAGAGAGCAAGGCTATGGTTTTCATAAATGTCTAAGCTCAAGGTACTAGACAGCCTATGAGAAACAATAAACGGCAGGTCTTTGATGCGATCCAGCTCACTGTTCTGCTCATGACGAATTTGTAACCGAATAGTGTAATCTCCTTTTTCCAGTTTCACGGAATACTGAAAGAAAGAAGTTCTCATAAATGCCAAGATGCAACACTTTACCATTCATAAAAGAACTCCTCCAAACCCCAGAAATAAGACTGGCATGTTTTGAAAGCATTCTTTAATTTTTATCAACCTGACAGGGCAACACATGATTGTTTCAGGCAATAGTATGCTAAGTCTCCTTTCTGATACAGCTGCAGTGAAACAGAAAGCAGCCCCAAGTAGAAAGGAACAACAACTCAGAACTACCCTGCTCCTAGAATCTCCCTCTCCTGGGCTAGGGAGTCATGCCTCCTGTTGGTATTTCTTCCTACATTAAATAATGTAGAATTGTTTTAGAATTGTCCTATGATGCACAACACCAGAGATTTACAACATGATAGTCCACCAGGTGTAAGTAACAAAGCACTAGGGTGATGTTTAGATTTTACAGTATCTTAAAAATGCAGGTTAAGGAATAGAAGCTTACACAATGCAATTTCTGAAAATAACTTATGAACTGTAAAGCATGTCTCTTGAAACCATCTTTTGTACACTTCCAGAATAATCAATCTGTCAAAATTACCATTACATTGATGATGATCAACTGTGATTTTATACTGGTAAAATGTAGCTTTAAACCAATAAATAGTTTTAAACCAAAACATTATAAATGTTTATTTTATATTTTTCCTTTTTAAATTTTTTTTTTTATTTCTCCCTACTTCCCCCATGATCCAGACACACAGCCTGTTAAGGCAGAAAGAGATTCCTGCAGAGGGTAGAAAAAAGTGTTGTGGAAAAAAATTCTGTTTGAAAGATGGCAACGGGAAACAAATAAAGCTGAAGCATTAAAAAGGCTGTTTGAAGATATCAACAGTGTTCATGAACACAGAAGCCTCTGCTCTATCAGCACACAAGTCAGACCTTTCCACCTTGCATAGAAAACTTTAAGGTATTGTCTTTGTAATAAAACAAAACAAAGAACAACATGATTTTGAACTCATTTCTTGAAAAGCACCAGGCAAAATCACAAGAAATCAGAGAAAAAGCTGTTAACTTCTTTCTCCTTCCTCAGGAGAGAAAAAAAAAAATCATGTTCTATTTTATGGATACATCTCTTTCGTTGATACAAATATATCACCACGGAACCTTGTATGACTTCTTGTGAATACATAACATTAAAATTATAAATCAGGAAATGTAAAGAGCTAACAGGAGGCCTGGGAGGTAAAAAAATTTAACATTTTCGCAGTCTTCAGCAAAAAGAAGATAAAATAAATACATTACTCTGTACCTGGTGTGGATAGGCATCTCCTGAACCCATTTGTCTTTTGTTCTGGTCAAAAATAATCCAGAGTTGACTATCAAATTCAGATTCATACAACAATTCACAAAGAAGTGGACAGCTTGGAGTTACCTCCCCACTCTTAGGCTGTTAAAAGAAAGGAAAAAGCATTTAATCTACTACAGAATAAGACAAGTACAATCCTTACATACATATTCAAAAAGAGAACTGAACTGTAGCATGTTTCAAACAACAGTAGCTTTTAAAGTGGACCAAATCAGAATTTTGACTGTAGGGAGTCCAGAGTGTGACTCTAGACCTCCTTTCTGAGAGAAAGCTAGCTAAAATTAAGACTTGGTTAAAGAAAACATGATGTGTTTATCAATAACTTAAAGAAACCCCCAACTAACGTAACTCTTACCTGATGGAAGTTATAGGTCAAAATCATCTCATACAGTTGACGATTATTTGGTAAAATATCTCTGGATCCCAAAGGTTTTATTTTTGCACTCACTGGTCTGCAGTTAAACAACAAAAGGTTCTCTTGAGAAACATGTATCCTCTATCAAAATTTGTCTTGCTTAAGCAGAAGCATATTCTTAGATACAACTGAATTCAGCACGTCGTCGTAACATCTCACATATTGTGATACAACTGAATTCAGCACATCTCGTAACATCTCATATATTGTAACTATCCAAGCAGCATAAATTCCTCAGTTAAAATTAATGTAAGTCTGAAAACAAAGTTTAGTGACACTACAGACAATGCCAAAAAAAAAAAAAAAGAAAAAAGAAAAAGAAAAGAATGTAGTAGGCATGCCTAAATGCTCAAAATTAAAAGCCATTAAGTTTAAGGGAAAAAAAAAAAAAACAGGTTACATTTCTAGTATCCATGCTGAAATCAACACTTGTCTTCATAACTGATTAACAACACGGCAATTAGAACACAGAACAATTGATAATTCCTTGTTACAGAAGGTTGTGTCTTCAGAGAATGTAAGAAGCCTTACAGTAATCTGAGTAGTAACACGGAAGAATGTACGCTACAGAGTGTGTATGTTAAGTCAGACACACTTGGGAAAAGCAGTCAAAGTCCAGGGCAGCCAAACATTTTAGACCTTAAACATCAAAAAATGTAATCAAAATAATGATATAGGAAAATTCAGCTTCAGAGGTAAAGAACAGCAGAATCATGGTGGTCTGGCATCATTTAAATTTACCCTTCATTTATTAAATCAGATAACCTCTAACTACATGATCAGAATTTGTCTCCAAGGTTCTGCCTGCTCTTTCATTGTCAAGGGCACAGACTAGTCACCCAGTAAGATATGGGTGCTGGGTCAGACCAAAAGGCTGTTTAACCCAGGTTTCCTAGTCTGGTGGACACTGGATAGACTGCTGACAGAAATCTTAAGAACTGAGTAATACCACATATGACATGATATGCCTCCCTAACATTCACCCTGCCTCCAAGCATTTGAAACAAGAGACAGAATGAAAAGCCATTCAGTAATTCTCTCTCTGTGTTATGACTCATTAGTTCATTCAAGAGACACTATTCCTGCCCTAATTTAAATACATAAATATTTCTCCATAGTTTACTTAATTGCAGTTCATTTACTGTCAGATGAGGGAGTAAAGAGCATGTCCATTTTTCCAACCAAGAATGAGGCAAATAATAAGGGACTGTTTTATTACCTCATTTACAGCACATCAAATGGATTATTTCTGAATCTAACATTAGGTGATATGTTCATTAAACTCCTGGCAATTCCAATTAGTCAATTCCAGTTACAAGAACCCAAAAGCCCCAGACAGAGCCCAAAGTCTCCACTCACAGGCCCAAATAATGGAAAACTTTGGATTACTGACCACTGTGAAATTGTCCCACATCTCAAAAGTACCACTTGAACCACATGGCATTTCTTTATCTTTCTGAAGTGACCAGCTTTAATCACTGCTGCACTGTCTAGAAATTTTCCAGCAAAGTTCTTTCCCTAAAACTGTATGTGTTAAATTAACACGGTAAACACAACTTTTCCCCAGAAAATCTGCAACAGATTCTACAAAAACACTTTAAATCAAGCAAGAGAGAGAGAGGACGGTTTTCCCAGGACAAAATTTGGCAGGATCCCAAGCAGCTGTTTAGGGAAAAAAAAAACCAAAACAGCCAAAGCAAAACAACAAGACAAAAAAACCAAAAGAACAAACAGCAGCACATAATAATTCCAATACATCTACAATTGTTTTCTTTAGACGTTTAAAGTACTTTTTACCTCTAAATGTCTGGAAGCAGTGAAATATTTTTGTAGATTTTTCTTCTTTCAAATTAGCTTAAGGAAAGTAATTAGTCTTGAAAACTTAAAAAGTCACCATAAAGAAAAGAATGCTGACCAGTTAACTGATGTCGACAAAGCAATTCATGCTTCCAAAGCTACTTTGAATTTGACAAGAATATTTTTGTAATCCTGAATTGCTAATGTGTTACTGTTTTAACTCCACATACAAGTTTCCCCAGTCTCCCAGAACAGTTCCCCAGAAACTCTACCTGAGTGTTTGAACCCAGCTTTTCAGACTTATGCATGGAGCAATATCTTCGTATTTCAACAGGGACTGAACATCAAACCGTACAATGCCTTCTGAAGCGTGCTAGAAGAAGAGTATAGAACAATTATGCTTCTGTGCACGTACAACAGCAAATGGGAACCACCTATTACAACCCTCAAAAATACAACAAAAGCTGCAATTATTTATACTTTAGCAAGTAATACTGTGTAATTTTGAAAGCATCACAAGTGCATCTCTATTTTACAACAGCAGGTAATACTGGGACTTGCAAAACATATATAAATAAAAACTTAAGCTCCAGTTGCTCATCTGTTCCCTTCCTAATTTAAATACTTTGTACAGAACTGCTAAGTCATACTACAGGCAGGACTGCATTTGTTTGTGCATTTAGGATGATTTAGTTTGAATATGTAATTCAATATATACAGTATAGAATATTAAAACAAATATTTTATGGTGCTTCCTAGGACTATTAATACAGAATAGATTAACTCTGCAAAAATGAAACAATACTGCACACATAAACTTGGTGATGGGCAAAATAATTCAAAAAGTGTATTTCTAGCAGTATCCCATGACAAAGACACTAGTATATGAGCATTATTGAAATTTATTTTATGGAAGTTACTGGTGCTCAAAAAAGGAAGAGCAAGACTATTTGCATTCTCTTATTTTTCAGTGTCCATTATTCATTTGGTATAATCCTGCTGGGCTGGGGGAGGCTTCTGTGCACACCACCACCAACAGCTCTTTTTGATGTTTTACCAGTTCAAGACCTGGTACCTCAACACACTACCCACTCTCTCTTCCTCAGTTTATTCAGCTCTTAGAGCCTGAATAAATCCAAATTCACCCACAGGAGAGCTACAACTTGCTCTGGCCTTTAGCTGAAAAAGAGGTATGAGCCAAGACAGATGAGCATGCCGCTGCTTCATGTAGGCACCAGCTCTCAAAAGAGCTCTCTCCTGAGGGAAGCAGTGTCAGGCCAAGCCAGGTTGCATAGGACAGCAAAGAACACAGGACCAAGACAAAGTACTGTAGATATCACAGTAACATTTTAAGCAACTTTTTCCATCCTTTAGTATCAGACTATAAATGAATCATGACACTGCCCCACCCACTGTATTTTCAACTGCCCTACATGATGACTCTCATGCCAATCATCACATCTCAACAGAACACTGAACATAAAATAAATTTTAAGGAAATTTTACTCTGAATATGGTATTCAGAGTGCTGTTGTTTTAGCAATGGTAGTCTAGATATTTAAGTGCAAGAACTGTGGTCCCAGCAAAATTTATTTACATAAAACATTTGGTACTGTAAGCATATTTATATTTTCAGCCTTTCAGTATGATTTATATACAGGTGTTGAGTTTAGCTTTTTTGTTAGGGTTTTTTTTTCCTTTCTTTCACTAGTGGTTTATAATGAAAAGGCACAGAAAAAAATCATAAATAATGGTAACTGGCATTTGTCTGGGACTGAACTCCAACTTAATTTTTAAGAGAGAACATGGAAGTCTCATGTAAAAAAATACTTCCACTGTTTCTAAATTCAGGCAAGAAAGAAGAAAAGCTGTTTTTTTTCCTGAGAAACCGTAGGATTTCACAGTAATTCAATATAAGCACTCTGGAAAACTTACCATGTTCAGCTGAGGAGCACCACAAAGTACACCATGGAAAGAAATTGTGTAATTAATGCTAACATCACTAAGGCTTGCCCACCACCGAGCAACGCAAAATTCAATGGTTTTTCCAGCCTGGGTAACAAAAGCACAAAGTTAGAGTCCAGCTCCCATCTTCCTCTTCTTTTGACCCCAGCCTCCCTAAACCCAACCAAGAAAAAAAAAAAAAAAAAAGACCAGACAACAACTCAAAAAAGACCTTTTCTGTCCAGTTTACTCCACTTGTACAGATTTGTACAGTACCAAGTAAGACTTGGTTCAGAAAACATAAGACAATTCCAACAAAACAGCATGACTGAGAAATGCTTCAAAACAAGGAGTGGCGAGGTATACCCTACACAGAAAGGTACTGCTTTTAAATGTTCTGTCTTCCATTCTTATCCCTCAAACTAGGCAGACAGGTTAGTTCATAGATCACTTTAATGTGTGTGTGCTAAAAAACACGTATTAGAAAAAGAGATCTCACTCTCGCCCTAATTAACATGACACAAAACTTGAGAGGTTTGGGTTAGTTTTGTTTTTGCCTAGTTGGTGGGGTTTTCTGGGTTTTTCCTGTTTCAGTTTTTAAATAACATGACAAAATAATGTGTCAATGGGACCAACATAGCTTATGGTCCCCCACCTGGCATTTCCACAGAGGGTAAGGGACTGAATTGCACAGAAATTATAACTACTCTTTGGCATTAGAGCTATACAACTAAACTGAACAAAGCAGGGGACAAACTTGAAGGAGGCTCTATTATCTACACCCCTGAACTGCTAGTTCATTCCCTGACTGTTTTGGACTCCTGAACTAGCATTATCCAAGCTAAGATTCCTGTACCTAGGATGTATGAATGTGAGCCAGTCAGTCACCCCTGGCTTCAAGATGAACATGTCCCAGACTACCGCATTAACCACGAAAGGCAAAATATGCTGAACTATCTAACAAGACACAGCTCCTATTTGAAAGGGAAACAAACTGCTCTGCATAAACAAGTACAAACAAACTGCAGAGATTAATAACATGTATTATATTACTAAATAGCTCAGAAATATTAGCAAGCTGTTAGAAATCTTTTCAAAACCGAAAATCAGATGCATTGCCTACTGTAACAAACGAAGTCTTGGGTTTGGGGTTTTTCTTAGGAAAAAAAATCCCAAATAAGTTATGTTACACTGCACTGATACATTATTTTATTTACCCCACCCCAAGGTAACTTACTAAGACAGGAAATGCTTCAACCACAGAGCCTTTTTCTGGTAAGGATGAAAATTTGTAGAACTCATGACTTCTGTATGCTTTTTGCTTCACAAGCTGAACAGCATGAAGCACAAACTTGGCAGTCACATCAGCTGAACATGAACACACTGTCACTTCTAGATTAAAGAAAAAGAAATTCAGTCTGAAGACACAAGAATTTTAGAAGAAAAGCAGAGAAACACTACTTTCACAAGCAATTTGCAATTTAAGAAGTTATGCAGTACCCCAAGTGGCTCCACATGTGAAAAATGCTTGTACATCAATTAATTTCAAAAGCTCTTTCAGGTTAAAAAAAACCAGCTAAATTCAGAGGATGGTTAAAGAGAAACATGTCTCAATTATATGGTGAAAATTAATCAGATAGTACAGATGTATCATCTGCATAGGACAGACAGGTGAATTGCAAAATAAGAGTCCTATCACTAACTTCTGACTAAATGAAAGATTTTTCAAAGGACTAATGTTTAGTAATTTCACAAAGAAAGACAAGGGAAAAAACCCCTTTGTTTTCCTTTGTGCAAAATTGTGAAAATCAAATTTTCTTCAGTTATGACTTCTTTCAACACTACACCCATACACCTTAAAAACTATGTAAGCCTCAGACAGTGATACTTTTCCATAAACATGGGGCATTCCTCCCAAGTATACCCAACCACTTTAAATTGTTATTGGCTGGTTTCTTTAAGACTTAAGAGTCAAGATCCTACTATGCCAATAACCATGAAATAACTCAAAATCACTCATCTAAGAGCTTAAAAATCAAACCAATATTTACATATTCATGGGCCAAACCCTTCAGTATTTCTTCAGGTAGAACCCAAAATTATTTAAAACCAACTTTGTCAAGTCTGACAGATGCAATTTTTTATTTAGTTAATGTGGTCATTTTCCTTACCAGCCCATGTAGCTCCCTGAGGAACATCAATGAAGTGCCTTCGGATCTGACCAGGTTTAAAATGAACATCTGTGTATGTCAGGTCATAGCTTGATGATTCATCTACTCTGTATGTCAAAAGGAAAATACAAATAGTAGTCAAACTGTGAAGCCAATTTTTGAAGCATTTTTAAACACAAAAATACTCTAAAAATGTGTACAATGAGGATATTTATTCTTTAACACCAATTATATTAATCCTACTAATACAGAATCTGACAGCACAATGTATCCAAAAGATTTAAAATGTCAGCTACACCACACTATGTAAACACCTTCCCCAAAATTAGAGTGCCTAAACAGAAGTATCAAAAAATCCTCATTTTCAGTGGATCTGCTTTTCCTGGCTGAGTGAATTGCCACTGAAGTGAGCTAAGGTATGGAATATTTCCATTAATGAGTTAGAGAACAGTTACTTTGTCTTTCCTCCTCAGGGACAATGTCCACCAAACAGGTCTAGTAAAATACTCTCCCCTCCTTCCTTATCACCATCGCTTAAGTCTTATGTCTAACCCAATGATGGGCGCAATGCCAACTCTAAACTCACTGTATTGAAGTAATGATCAAAGCTTTTCCCAATGTATGCAATGGCCAAATAATGCCCTCTGGCTCTGTGTACTCTAGTTCCGGGGCAGAAATGAAAAACCAAGCTCCAGTTGACCTACACATATGAACAGTACATTCATTGATACTTTGGTCAACAAGTCAGAAGGCATCTTTATGCTGACAGACCAGGAAGCTGCTGCCACTGTGGCTAAGCCTACCACGACACACTGCTGTCATGACTAAACTATAAAGAAATGTCACAACTGCATAAGCGTGCTGTAAGAATCTTTTCAGGTTTTTGTAGAAAGTTCAGGAACTCTCAAGAGTTCTGGATTTACTCACCTTGTCGGTATAACAACAGTGATTGGAACTCTGAACAAAGGGCCTGCATTAGGCATTGCTGTATCATATCCACACACCTAACAAAATAAAATACAGCAACTCAATATCTTTTGTCAGAATCCAACTACAGAAGACAACATTCAGCTTAAACCAGTGGCAGAGTATTTTGAATCTTTGTAGTTGTCACTGAGGAGAAAAGGTCATTTAAGCACTGCCACCCTAGAAACAGTAAAACACCAACAATCACTGAGGAAAAAAAGAATATTTTTCCCATTTTGACTCATTTCACCAGAGGAAAAAACCTTAATCAATGGTCATTTATTTGGCTTATGTTTTCTATATGCTCTTATTTTTCAAACACAGATACTCAAAGTTGTACAGGCATGTGCTATACAACATTGTATAGCCCAGCTATTGCTGCTCCATGGCTTCAGTCTGTATAGACTGAAATACACTGTGGCACTACTTTCTGCTCTGTAAACCTCAAGGATTTTACTTCCTTAAATACTATTTCTACGAAAAGTTGACAGAGACCCCATAAGGACACACAGGCACAAAATTTTGCTCAGAACACTGGTACTTCCATACCTCTGTATAATGTACTCCTCCACTCAGGCCACGTGGATCCACACGAATATTTATGTGTCGACACTGGTTCATGAGTTCTAAATGACTAGGACACTGGACCCATGGTGCATTTGAAGTTAAAGCTAAATGAAGCTGGAGAGATATTCTTTCAGTGTTTTCTGTCAGGAAACAAATTATAAAAACAATTGAATAACACAAACATGTGCACATAGTCACCATAACAGTATTTGCCATTAAAATATACATACTGGTAAAATATAATAGGAATCAACCTTAGGGCCCCTGTATCTCAGATTCTGCACAAAGGGAGTGTTCTATATTACTTCTTTTGACTTGACAACACAAGAATAGCAGCAGTAGGCAGTAAAATAAAGGTGGTATCCAGCTTTGAAATTCCTCTCCTCTGAAATAGTGAAAGCTGACAAAGTCAAAGGTAGGGCTGGTAAGCAAGGCTTCAGTTACCCACAACATAGTCTGGGAGCAGGTATGAACTTCCTTCTATAGAAAAAGTGTTGCCTAATGCAGAGAAATACAATAAAAAGCAATCACATTTATTCTGAATGCTATACTAATTACCAAAGTACATTATAAAGCATACTAAGCAAGAGGTGAAGTCTATTAAAATGACTATGATAATCTAGTCAGATTTTGCAAACAGTCTGGCAGATTCTGTAAAGTAGCTTTTTTAATACATAGCCAAAAATGCTATGTATTAAAGCACAGCTTCCAGAAAAGCAACCAGAGCAGATGAAATGTTTTAGTTCTTAGCAGCTTCCTCCTGCTCAGAAGATTAATGACACTTCCAAAATTTTTTCTCCTGTTTCTTAGTCATAATTAAGCTTATCTTAATTTTCAGACATTTCATCATATCTAGATTAAGCAGAGAAAAGGACACTCTATTATAAGTACAGCAGAAGCAATAAAAGCTTGAAGAGAGCTTCAAGAGACAAACCGAGCAATCAGCCTCCCTAAATTCACACTTACAGTTTCTCAAACTCAGTCTTGTTGAAGACACCAGACACAGCACAGAAATAACTAGGGAAAACAGCTACCAGGTAAAGCTAGAGAAACAACATCTATGTGCCAGTGCCAGTCATTCATTGCAAATACCTGTTTTTAGATTGCTAATTTCCTGCTGAAGTCTAGTGAACAATTATTTTGTGTCACATGTTAAATTTAAAATGCACCGACTGCAATGCAAGCTGTCAAGCAATTAAATTATTTGGAGTCAATAGCTGCCCCAATTCATACCCTTTCTGTCCCTAAATAAACTCATGCCTTTGTCACATGCCAGCCTTCTTGATGACAACTGGTTTTAGGAAAGGAATAAACTCAGTAACAAGCTCTCACATGGCTCCCTTTCCAAATACAACATAATTCAGTCTCTCAGTTCCAATTTTTATTAAATAAAGCAGGGCAAAAGGGTTTGCAGAAAAAAAGGTTAAATCTCATTTTCATCTGCATAAGTTATTTTTGCCCTTTTAGTAATAAAATCCATATAAATTCCTGTATTGGCCTTTCATATCTTCATCAATTATGAGACAGTGAATGGAAGTCTAATTTGTTAAACAAGATTTTTCTCAAGTGGTGAAAACTTAGATGAAGTCCAAATCTATTATAGTCTTTAAATAACTGAGAAACTAATTTCTGGGTAAGTGCTTTCATCTTCAGAATAATCATCAACCTTTGCCAAAAGTTATCTACAACACAAACCCTGAAGTTCCATAATTTCATGAAACATCAGGGACCTATGGTTATTCTCTGTTTCTCCAAACAACAACTTGACTTTAAATTTCTACAGAACAAAGATCTTTTTCAGTGAGAAGCATTGAAGCAACAGTCTCCCCAAACAACCTGAAAGCCCTGCATGGAAGTCTGAGGTTGAAATGGAAAAGTTCTTTGCACATCTTCCTTGACCATCAAACTTACGGTTACACTGACTCCTTTCACAGTACAGATTCCTATCACTCATCATTATCACAGCTTTTTGTTTCAAGTCGACATTTGTATTTCTCTGCACCTCCTCCTACTAAAGCTCTTTCCTACCTGTATTCTCAGGAAAGACAGGTTCTATGCCAACCCCATGATCAGATGGTGCCACTGTCTGGGCTGGATCTCTGAGGTAGATTCCACGGTTGCTGCCGACAGTAACTGTGAAGCCGATGTTACTTGTGAATGATGAATTCTGAATGAGGTAGTCATAGGCTTTATCAACCTGTTAGAAAGAGCAAGTTCTAAATTAACCAATTTCAACTTAATAGCAGTTTATGCATATTCTCTTCAATGTGAAATGTTCAGCAACCACAGCAAGAAACAGTGAAGTACCTCGCATGCTACCTAAGCAACGTGTGATTGCACGATACTCAGTACAGAAAATGAGGCAATTTTCACAGTCTGCAATGGCCACAGAGAGCCCAGAAAGCCAAGAACATTCGAAAAAAACAAACAAGGCCAAGTCTCCTCTGCTATAAATCCACAAAAAGATTCCTATTCAGAGATGACACTGAAGAAGAGGACTTCAAGGCCCAAACCTACTATTCTAATTTAGGTGACTTTTTCATAAATGGAGCAACACTAGTTAAAACACTTAAAACTTTTATACAATAAGAAATTGAGCAATTCAAACAAGACAGGCAATGAAATAAACATACAAGTCTTATATATGATATGAAGTAAAAGAATCAGGCCATGAAATCCAGCCTTGGGTTTAAGTACATGAGCTGTCACAATAAACTCGCATAACAAATTCATCTTCTGGTTTTAAAGAGACACCTTTCCACCTCACTTGCTATTTTACTGACTACAAAAATCTTAAATTCTCTTCTACTTGACAGCAAGGTACCTTCACCAGTGAATATTAGGGTACTCTCCTTTGAGACAAGTGGACATACAACACCTTGTCTCCAAGATCAATTCTAATCACATTTTAACACACGGTTTAATGTTTAACACATGGTTTAAACACCAAGTATGATTGATGCATTTTACTTTTTATTTGATATAGCTACCACCACTGCTGCCTTCTGTATCAAACTCAGCATTACAGACACACTTAACAGGCACTACCTACTATGTTCTAGCATCTCCAGAACTTGAATTTTGGGCTAAGCATTTAATAACTGACATTTTGAAGCACAATAGAAAAATCTTCGTACTCCTATTAGACTAGGACAGGAGTGACTATAGGCAAAAACCAGGCCCAGCTCTGTAAGAACATCAGCTTATGCATAGGGAGACACTCAAGTCACTATGCCTTTACCATACAGAGGATCACATCACAGATTTCCAATAGGAAATCCCATAGGAAACAATGAGCACTCAGACTGTTTAGTGCAGGCCTGCAGCAAAGTCACTGTACAACTGCAGCTGTAATTCTTTGTGGACCAGCGTGGGTATCTCTTTTCACTGCCCAGAACTTACAGTCCCAGCTTTTCTCTGGACAGAACAAGTTCAGCCATCTCTGACAACACTTAAAAACATTTCTGGATTAGGACAGAATTTAGGTGCCCATGTGGTGCCTAAATCCACATGTGGGTAACAAAAACCTCCATCCCAGTTTAATGTCCATGTATCTTTTTGATCAGCCTAAGAATGTGTCCAGTTATCACATTTATTTTACAGTAATTGTGTGCTGAAACTGGGAGAACCTTCTCATTCCTCCTCCTCTCCCACTACATTCCCTTCCTCTCCCCCAGTGAGATTTGAGAATCAAGTAGCATGGAAAATACTGAGTGAGATCACCTCAAAAGCTGTTTTGGCTGTTTTGTGGGTTAGTTTTTCACCAGCAGTTATTTATATTATACTGTTTTTTTGGTTTCAAGTACCTGAATAATACCATGTCCTTGTGCAAATACTTCTATGTTTTCAGCTTTCACTGCAGTATTTTCTAACGCTCTTCTGACAGAATGAACAGTGTAATTAACATTATTAGCTTTGAGTCCTGAAATTAAAAATAAGAGTGTTACTGGATACAACAAATATTTGAAAGTGAAACTATTTTTTTAAGAGGAAAAAGTATCTAACCTCTTTTAGATGATGCATCTATGTTTAACATTGTAGCACTTTACCTGACAATACTAACGCAATGCCTCCACATGCATTGGGAGAAGACATGGATGTGCCATTCATGAGCTGTGTTCCTCGCAGAGTCCAGTTTGGAACAGAAGCAATAGCACCTCCTGGGGCACTGATACTTACTCCAAGGGCTCCATCAGTGCTAGCATTAAAAAGCAATGGTTAAAACATACTTTTTCTCTTTTTTTGTACAATTTAAGATAAAGTTGTCAGTGCATTAAAAAAAAAAAGTTCTCCTTAGAGAATACTCACTGCATCTTACTTCACTAAATCCACTAACCCATTAAACCCAAGAAAAAGCATGCTACCAAGTAACAATTTAAAATGACACGTTAATCATCAGCTGTGCCTGTTTTACAGTGAGAGGTTTCTAAATTTTCACTCCTTCAATATTCTCTACCAGGCTTGAGTTTAGCCAGCAGAATACTTTCTGGGATTTGAATTACAAAATGCACATAAACCAACCTATTAAACACTTCAATAAATAAATTAGCATTCCATGTAGCCTATTCAATGGTTATTACTTCTAAAGAAAAACAGTAAAAGGGGGAGGAAGGCTAGTAAAGATCCAAAACCTAGACTTCTAATTTTGCATGCTGACAGTTCACTACCAGGTTAAGTTTTGAATTTACAAGCCTGAGACAAGAGGGCAAGGGGAGAACTCATAAAATGTAATTCCAAGAGGTAGATCAGGATCAGCTGGGTCTGATCCCTAAACCCCACTTCTTTCACATGCATATTTAAGAACAGAGCAACTGTGTACCTATGGCACAGTTAGAATAGCATCTAGTTTTCAACTCTGTGAGCCAGATATGCACCATCTTTCTTGCTCTGGATAGACAAAAATTGCACTGCTTGAATTAGAACAGCCCTGAGCCTGAGCTATTCAGTTCTGTAGAGAGGTAGGATATTTTAGGGTACTTATATCCCACACTAACAGCTTCATATGTCTAAAATCAGACTATTCCAAGTATGATATGACAATATGACGTTTGGACATATTTTATGACAGCCGTATATAAACTCATAAAAAGGTTCTGCATCCCAACACCTCAGGACAAGCAGTGCACAGCATATCTGCCTGAAAGCCTCTACTGCTTACTGTGACAGACTGAACCCTACATCAAGACTGCTCTAGCAAACTTTAGGAACTCTCCAGTCATCTGCATACTGCACCCTAAACAAAGAGAATCCTTTCGTCCAGGCTTGGCCTCTCAGTTGACTATTTTAGAGGGCACAGCAACTAAGCACACAAAAAATTTTATTTGTGCATGTGTGTCTATCAAAATTAATTACAAATCAATCTCTCTTTCTCAGCAGAAGGCAGACAGCATATTTCTCTTTTCCCTACACAAAACATGACAATCCTTCATAGTAACATTCTTGAAACAATATACTTGCCTGTACACATACAAACACCATAACAGCTAGAGGACAATTCCCAAGAGATCTTACTATTTTTTTTCTTTGTTTATCTATCACATTACTATCAGATGCTTCTGAGAAATGAAATAAAAATTGGAGTTTACATTGCCCTTAAAATTTCTTTCACACATGTTCCAGAAAAATTTCTGTAATGTAAGGTAGAAAGCAATTTTTTCTGCCTACTCACACCTCTACTGAACTCAAACAAAACCCGTGAGTAAATTACACCATCACAGCAATGTCACTGAAGCCAGAAGTAACATCACTGCAATAACAGTATCTATTTTAATCTTCATCACTCATAGCACATTTAACCACACTAACCTAATGAAATAAATGCTACAGAAAAAAAAAAAAAAGTAAATTAAAAAAACTGAAACAAATTCCCAAACAACCTTTCAGTAACTTTTATCGTCTTTGAATAGATCTGCACCCAAATAGTTTTCTGGAGAATACAGGCTGTGCTGAGGCAGTTCCATGCTATTCCCTCTCCTCCAGGAGTTCCAGATCCCAACATACAAAGGTGTTATCAGAAGAGCAGGCTAGTTATGCTTTTTCCACAGGAAAGAAATCCTTTGATTTTGGTATTAGTGACCAATCTTAGATTTTGAGTTATATCACCTGAACCCCAAGGTAGTCAATTGTTCTTGGAATATAACCTACCTAGGCCCTCTGGATGACCAAGTGTACTGATTTGCAGGCAGTTTTTCTCTCAAAGAGTATTCAGCAACCATCATGTCAGGTGACACGTAGGCACCAACACCTGTAAAAAACACTCAAGTATTTTAGATGTAATATGAATTTTTATGAAGAACTAAAGTAAAATTCTTCTGTGGTTTAAATTCTTTATTAGAAGAATTCTTGCTTAATGTCTTGACATTTAAAATGGAAACACACATGTTCTATCTCATTAAATCCAGGTATTTTTGCAAGGCAATCGTAAAGTATCATGCTATGCAGTAACAATGCTGATGGGCACACTGCATAATAGCAAAATATCATGCAAACTTCCAAGTTTCACTTTTATTCAGCTGGAATATAACCTTCTACACTTCCTTCTTAAGAGGTAGTTCATACATGTCTTCTCTCTCTCCTGCCCCTCTTTCCTCTGTTTACACTGCTCTGCCACAAACTACAGCTCCACGTCAGAGCAATCCATGAGAACTGGTTCATGTTCATGTGGCTCCCAGCTACACCCCCTGGAGCAAATGGCCATGTCCACAGATCCCAGTGAGGAGACAGTCTTTACTGGGTATCAGTTCCAAGTACACAGAGTATGTAAACAGCTACATCAAAGCTTGATAAAGTAGCAACTGTAGAAGAGAATGCCAAGGATGCACACAGCAACTATGATTTTGTTTACAGCACAAGCACTACCATGGTGGTACAAAACTACCATACCAAGCTGACAAAATTGGCAAGGCCTGTGTCTGTCTCTGTGTTAACTAAGCCAACCTGTCAGCTGTATTTTGCTTTACCCTCAAAAAAACACCAACTCTATCTGCTTCACTCCAGATGGAGGACAGGAGCAAACTACTTGGCATGCAGAGTGAATAATCACGCCATCTCTAGAGTGATACAACTAAGCTGAATTGACAGAGTAGATGCACTGTAAGAGCAAAGCCAGGGCAGACCTGAAAAGAGCTTGTTAGTTCCAGTTCCAACCCCCAGCCTCAGCAGTGAATTAACAGCAGATTAACTTTCAGAAAGTAATCAGCATTAATTCTACCAGCTGCCCTGGAATAGCAGCTCTCCAGCTTCCAAGGCTTTATGCTAGTCTCCTTACACACTGGTCTCCTTGCATAAGAATTCTGACACTTAAAAAGCATAGTGCGTAACGCAGTAGTGAGATCATAAAGGATTTCTATAAAAATTAAGACTAAGGACGTTACCCCTGAATGCTAGGCATTTTGCTCAATCTTGTAACTCAATCTTTCACTAAAATATCAAAACCATATATTAGCCTATCAGAAAAAAATTTTAATGACAGTAATAGACTTGCACAGCAGTGGCACTGCAGCTGGAAAAACTCCTCCCCTACAAGGACTTGTCTAGATCCTAGCATGGGATTACTTTTTGTCCAAATTAAAAACATCTGTTTCACTAAAAATAAAAATCAGAGTATGTGATGAAGACAGATGATCAAAAACTATAGCTCTTACAATTCAAAATGCATTGCAATACTTTCTAGAAGACTAATTAGAATCCAACTGAGAATCATATTTTTGTAAGTTGCATTTACCAGCAGCTATGGGTTGGAGCAAAGTGGCGTGCTTAGATAGTTACAATTGAAAAAAATAATCCTGAAATACTCAAGTGAGTCAGACTAAAGATTTCTTTTGCAAATTTTATACAAAGCCACATTAAATCAAGACTATTTGCCTCCCACCTCTTTTCTACATATGTAAGGTCTTGAATTGTAAGAAGATAACAATCTAAATTTGTATACCTAAGCACAGAGCAAGTGCCTCTCTCAAAATTAACCTTGCAGTACAGCCGGCAATTTTTTAGATTTAGTTCAGCAATCGACCATGTAACAAAAGTACAAAGTCTGAAAAGACAGAAGCTGAATACTGTCAAATTTTTTTTTCTAAATGAATTATTTACCTATTACACTAGATGTAGTTCCACCAGGACATCCAACTGTAGAAAGGCAAGGACCATTATTTCCTGCACTTGAAACATAGATTACATTGTGTTTCCACACTGCTTCATTAATCACTTCACAAATTCTCCTAAAGTAAGAGAAAGAAATGAATCATTTACTCAACAATATTGCTTTCTTCCAGAGGACAAAGCTCCCATTTCTAGTACAACCTTTGACCATTCACCAAACAAGGAAGCTTATGCAACTTGCTTCCCACACCTAGCAGAGGCGGTTCCAGTACAGAAGCTGACCACGATAGTATCTTCTGGTTTCAAAAAAGGAGTGAAAACTATGTAGTGATCCTAGGTGTTCAAAAAGTACCCCACATATCATGTGGTGTTGCAACTATAAAAGTTTTTTATTATGCTAAAATATTATTTGTATATGGTTTACAAATCTGTGTATGATATATTTGTATACAAATTATAAATGAAAAGCTTTTTCAATGGGTTGACTTCTTTCAAAGGCAGTTTAAAATTTATACTGCACAGTTTCTAACTTATGAATCATGTGAGCCTGGATGATTCACTCTTAGCCACTACTTGACTTAGAGAAAGCTCAACAACTACAATTCCACCTCTGTGAAATTAAAATACTTTAACCACAGTACTACTTACCCAGAATTTGGCCAGTGTGTTGCTTCTCCATAGCTGTAGTTGACAAGATCACATTTGTATTTTATTGTTTCTATCATCTGATAAAGTAAAAATGAAAGTCAAAATATGTGCTAGTCAAAGAATGAAAGTGACTTCAGGAATGACAGAAAACATCTGCTTAAATTGATTTGCTACATATCTAAGAAAGACATACATCTTTTGAATCTAGAAAATAATTCACTGCAGCCAGATAAGAGCTATTTTCCCAAGAAATTAAAAAAATTTAAAAAAAATCTATTCCCTGAAAAGTCTTATTCTTACAGCCTTATTCTTCCCAGCCATAAATCAAGACCCTAAGAGATTACCTAAGAAATTACCCTAAGAGAAAACTGCATACAAGACCAGTATTGTCTCAAGAACATAAAATTCTCCTTTCCTGCGCAGTTTGGTTGAACTCCAAAAAGGCGCAAAAAATTTATTGTTCATGTTGCTACATCAAAATATCCTATGGACCACAAGCATAGTCTTTTCATATCCTTTTCTTGAGTAAAATTTTTCCTTATCAACTCATTACACAGAAAAGCTCTTGGGTCTTTCATCAATGAAAGGAATGCTATTTTTTCTCACTCTTAAGAAAAAGAGTTAACACAAATACAGCAACATAGGTAGATACTTGCCTCTATTTTAGATTTATTCTAGATCTGAGTAACTATAAAAGATACATGACAACACAAAGAACTTCAGCAAGTATGCAAAAGTAACTTCTCTCATGCAACAAGTTAGTCAGACACTGCAAATCTGTTAGCCCGGAGTAACTCTAAGAGCTCTATGCAACAGAAGCCTTGTTTTATATTAAAACACTAGTCTTACAATATGCTTTAAAAGACATTTTAGCTGGTTTTAGGGGTTTTGGCTGTGCTATTTATTGCTTAAGGGTTTGGGGGTGTTTTTTGGGGGGTGGCTTGGTTGTTTTATTAATTTTTGGTATTTTTGTTGGAAACGCTGTAGAACCATAAAAACAAAGCCTAAATAAACGAACAGGGCATGAAGTTTCACAACATTCTACACTTAAATCACACTGCTGAGATTAGTAATTCATTCCGTGAAATACCCACAGCTCTTATGAGACCAGTGCCAGTTTCCATTGTACTTAGTCTCGTATCTCCAATCTTGATTGCAAGAATCTGAGCTCCAGGAGCCACACCATTCCGTTCTGGTTCTTCTGGAAAGTATCCAGCTGCAATACTAGCCACATGTGTTCCATGTGCTCCTGTGCAAAGGAAAAGCATGTATGTTTAGTGAACTTCATTTGTAAGAATTCAATATGCTACAGCTCAATTAACTTTCACTCATTGAGCTGTAAGCACATAAATCCAGTCAGTGGCCAGTCACCAGTGCTGCTGATACCAAAAGGGTGACAGTGTTCACCAGGATTCAGCAGTGGAGCCAGCCCTGGTCAATATTTTCTGATGGTCTGGACAAGTGGATTAAGAGCATCTTCTGTCATGGTGCAGACAACAACAGGCTGGCAAGAGTGCTGATCAGGTGGAGGATAGGAAGGCTCTACAAAGGGATCTGGACAGGCTGGATCAATAGGCTGAGGCTAATTGTATGAGGTTCTACAAAGCAAACACCTTTTTAAAGGGAGAAAGGAGGCAGCAGGAAGAGAGAAACACAGTATTAACTTAATTCCACTAACAAAAGTCACTTTGAAGGCTCAACACTTCCTACTCAAAGTTATGAATACTACACCTGAGACAACTCAAGTAGCAGGGATTAAGAACAGAAAACAGAACTGCACAAAAACATAGAAAGGAACATCTCAAATAAGGCACCATCTATTTAGAAACCTGAACTGCTTATCTAGCTCTACTGAGATGGGATATTTTCATAAGAAATTAAGAGCACTTTTCAAAGCAAATGCATTCATACCATCCCAACCACCCAGTTTGCTTCCAAAACAAACCACGATTATTTAAAGAATACTCTAAAACAGCTTCAGAGTGGTTTGAGCTACAGTTATAGTGACATCTGACATAACAAAAAAAAGCTTGTATAAACCTAAGATCAATACCCATTTTGTTCATGGTTATTATATTTAAGATTCTTAAAGTATACAAGTACAAAGGAGAGCAATTAAAAAAATCAATCATCACTCTATATTTAACAAACATAACTAAAAGGTTTTTTTGAAAGAAGGCTCTCTTTAGTTTAGCTTTTAAGATGCATGTACATGTTAAAGAATACCTAAGTATGCATGTTCTATGTATACATGCTTATGTACACAAAGTTGACAATAATTCACACAAAAATGCAAGCAAGTTTGGTAATGAGCCATCATTATAGATTTAGTTCAGGAAATATGAGTATTGATCTTGAAAGCCATAATAACTAATGCTGTACTATGACAGCTGCCTCAAACCATCCCAAGTATCAAAAACAAGACCCAATACAAATTACTGCTTCTCATGATACCTACTTAGCAGCAAAATGTTTTAAGATTATTTTCATTTACCTCCACTTGTAACAATAGAAAGGAGGTTTCCATCATCATATATATTCACAGAATAATTCAACATCTCAGATGTTCCAAAAGATCCATATTCCTGAGCCTCTTTATAGGTTCTCAGCACTGTACAGTTAGTTAAGTCACCACTCTCACTTGTATCTACGCAGGCTCTGTTGACAAAAACAAACAAAAAAAGACAATGTCCCAGCTGCTGCAAACTTTTGGTTACCTACCTTCTACAGCTGAGCATAGCAAAAAGACTTCAAGAAGTTTGGTTCTGTGTTTATGGTATCTCTAAATAGTCCTTTGAGCAACTACTTTAAAATTTGGTTGTTTATATTTAAGATTCAGAAACTACGAAGTTATCTAAATAAACTGATTTTCAAACACTGCTAAATTCAAATAAATCTGTATTTGAAAAGCAGGAGTATGAAAATTTATGCAAGTTCAAGGAAGAAATTTTACTAAAGGTAGATGTTCAGTACTGGTACACAAACATTTGAAGTTTTACTGTTTTGTATGATGTACATTATCAATAAAGTGACATGTTACATCCTGAAGCCTGTGCACAGACACCTGCTTTGTTTTATTTCGTATCACCAATGGATAGTCCAAACAATTTTATTCTGCTTCAGAAGAAAAATCCCATAAACTTACACTCATATCACACTGTCTTCAATAAGACTTTATCCTACCCCATCTTCATTTGGGACCAGCATTTTGTCAAGAAACTCAACTGACAGAGCAGGATTATTTTAAAGCAAAAAATACTTAAACTCTCTATAAAGAGGGCAGATATAAAAGCTAACAAGTCTTCGATGCAAGCTATTGTTTTATGTAAAGAACAACACATTTTAGACAAGTGTAGTCATTTACCTCCAGGTCTCACCGTCATACCACACTACACAATCATATACTGGGCCAGGATCACTGTATTTTTTCTCAAAAGAATTCAACAATTCCACTTGATTTTGAAGTTCTTCCTTTATTAGCTTATTTACCTAATAAGGCAAACAAAATTCAGTTAAGAGTATTTCCAAAATTATCACAAGATATGTAATCCTACATTCTTTTCTAGTGATATACATTTTTTCCATTACTTTTCCAGGAATGTTAGACTATCCTAGGAGTCACAAAAATCTACAAGTTCAATGGTTTTCAACAGTGCACTGTTTATTTCTGGCCTATTATGTACAACTACTTCTAATTTCTGTAAATGTAACATTATTTTCTTAAAGACTATTAAATGATAAAGTAGTATCTGAGGCATTTCTGGTACTTCATTGAAATAGTACACAGTTTACACAAGAAAGAGTATGTTTAGAAAATTCCAACTCTGAACGCAGCAAGGATGGTGGCCTCAAAACACAGCACATTAAATTAAAAATAAAACTTATTGAAAATATCCAACAATATTTTTTTAAGTAATCCTATTTTCATATTTGAGACCAACTCTCAAAAGTAAACAACAAGCAAATTGAACAACCATGCCTATAAAGACTTATAAAATTAATCAGAAGATACAATGGCAAATTATCTGCCAAAAGAGTCTCAAGTACCTTTCCTTCACTCATCTAATGAAACATTTTAATCCTGTCAACCAGTAAAAATTTTTGCAAGGAACAAGTTCATAAATTTAGACTTCATGCAAACCTGTGAGGGAGAGCTATGAGCAGCATCAAATTCTTCTTGCTTCCTACAAGCCTCTGCTAGAGCCAACCTGTGAACAGGATCCCAGAGCTTTTCCTTGCGCTCTTTCTGCAAAATAAAACAGAGGTTTCTCAACATACTAAGAAATATATGGCAAAGTATGAAGTCTATAAAGATAATCTGAAAATTCTGATTTGAGAGAATGGCTAAAAAAGTTCCATATAATAGTATAAATAAGCATAAATTGCCACACAATTAAAAAAAAAGGCTATCAGTATTTTCTGTACTTCTCGCCCCAATGGACCACTGTGAGAAGGATTTCTAAGCCACCTCCTGTTTCTCTGAAAAATCACAGAATAAGTGCAATCAATAAAAATCAGAAAGAATAGCTTTCAAGTGCTGGTTAGCAATCTAAGTTTGTTAGCAAATCACATGCTGTAGCGTTCTAACAAAATTAAGAAACAGAACTGTAAAATATGACTGTATACCAGAAAGAAAAGATAATTAATCCTTACCTGAATCCTCTCCTTAAGAGCTTTAGGATAGATATCATAGCCATTTTTTATGCCAATGTGATATTTGCCTGAAGGATTTACCCAGTTTGCTGGAATCTACAGAAAAGTACGTTTAGAAGTAGGTTAACTAATGGCATTAAAAGAACCCCTCAAACAAAAAAGCCCAACACTGTGTAAGAGAGCTCAGCAGAGCAAACCTGCAAATACTGCCAATTTAATTCTCTGTCTCCATAACAGTAACTACTGCACTGTTCCAACAACATGACATGGCATTTTCAGTCCAGCTCTCAAAAAATCAGTATTGGTGACACTGCCATTGAACATCTTTAAGCATTATTTGCTCTGATACTCTACTTTTAAAACACAAAGCTTTACTGAATTTGCTGGGCAGAGGTCTGGGGAAATAACAGTACTATAAGTGAAACCTAACATGAGCAAGTATGGTTGGAAGCCATGACAAACACCTGAATATCATCTGAATATCTCTATAATCTGATAATTTAGAAACTGTGTATCAGGATATGCTCATCCTAGCAACAAAAGTAAACGAGCAACAGATTCAGGCTTACAATCATCTTCTTTGCAAAATTAAGAAGAAAGCTGACATGGACCTCTATGGAGAGATCCAAAGACGCAATGCCCTCATATCACATCATCAATCCAATCAGGAAATCAAGAACATGTTAGCAACATCAGTTCTGTGTACCCAAGACCTCTACTAGATTTCATGTCCTTTCTGGAAACCCTATAGCATTTCTGCTATGCATAGTGAGAATTCAGTGAGTCTACAATGAGGTTCTCACAGATTTTTCAGTCTCTAAAACCTATTCACCACAAGCTTAACACAATTCCTCTTGTAGCTTATGCAAATGTGGAAAATTTAAAGACACTACTGTGCCTGACATTTTTTAACATAATAGCACATTTTCTTCAGCCAGTTTCCAAAGCTGTATCAGATACTGTTTTGAAAAAATAATTAAATTATTATCAGGTCCCCCCAAAAGCCCTGTACACACTCCTGTTCAGCTACAGACCGTATTAGAAATAAAGACATACAAAAAGTGTAAAAATCACTAAGCAATCTACATGAAGATGAGTAAAGGCAGCATTAGGTTTGGGTAAGATCTGGTTAGCTGGTATCAGTTGGGCTAGGTTTGATTTTCTTCACAGTAGCCAATATGGGGCTGGTTTGGATTTGTGCTGAACACTGTTAATAACTCAGGGATGTTTTAGCTGTTGCTGGGCAGTGCTTGCATGGAGTCAAGGCTTTTTCTCTCACCCATCCCAAACAGGGCGCAGGCTGGAGATGCACAAAGATGTGGGAGGGGACATAGCTGGGACAACTGATCCCAACTTGACCACAGGGATATTCCATACCATATAGCATCATGATCAGCATATAAAGCTGGGGAACAAAGGAAGAAGGGGAGTCATTCAGAGTGATGGCATTCATATTCAAGTCACCATTTGTGTGGAGCCCAGCTTTCCTGAAGATAGCTGAACACCTGCCTGCCCATGGAAAGTGGTGAATGGATCCCTTGTTTTCCTTTGTTTGTGTGCAAAGCTTTTGTTTTACCTATTAAACTGTCTTTTATCTCAATATGTAAGTTTTGTCAGTTTCACCCTTGTGATTCTCTTCTCCCCATATTGCCAGGGGAAGGCTGAGTCAGAGTCTCTATGGTGCTTAGCTGCTAGCTGGGTTTAAACCACAACATCTGGTTAAAAGGAAGTGAATTCTGTAAAAACCAAAACAGGTGCTAAATTTGCTGTTAACCAAAGAAGATGATGTCCTGTGGTGTCTCTGTACCACCAAATACTCACCTTTAAACTTCTTCCAGAAAGACCAGTAATTTCTCCATCTTTAGGTTCTGCAATGGTACATGTTGTTACATCACCACTGCCCGTAGTGTCAATTATATCAATTATCTTCGGTTTCCCATCAGTTGTAATCTGAAAATATGAGCACAGAATGATTGGAAAATGTACTTGTTTACCCTTCAGCACACAAACCAGGAAAATTTTGTTGTTAAAAATATCAGCTAGCTTTTTCAGATACCAACCTTTAACTGAAGGACATAAAACCAATTTGAACCCAAGATAAGTTTTCAAAGAACTAAGACCAACACATCCCTCTTTCTGGTTCATACAAATCTACTTATTACTAATAAGGATTCAGAAAAGAAAAAAGTAAAAACATTGTATCAACAAAGCACAAGCAGCCTCAATTTAAAACCAAGCCTAAATTTGCAAAAATGTATTTGCAGGAACTACTATTCGTTTTCGTATTATTTCTTGTGTTGCTTGTGACCCCTCATTCTGACAAATTTTATAGTAATAAGTGCACAAGTAAGAAACTGACAGGTGCTGAAGTACAAGCTCTCACAAACTGTAATCTCTTAACTGAGCTTAAAAGATCCTAAAAGGGACAGAAGTTACTATTACCTTATGCCTCCGTCTCTCTGGGTGCCTCCCAGTGAACCCCGGCCAGCCCCGGGTCGGCAAACAGCGGGGGGGCAGCCCCGAAGTGACCGACAACGGGGGGACACTCTCTGGTGCCCCGAGGGTACTGAGGGCAGCTGGGCTAGTCGCCTTTGCAGCAGAAGAGACGCTGGAGACATCGGCGGAGGGTAAAAGGCCGACTCTGAACAGGGGGCCAATCCAAGGTTTATTCCGAGCTCCCCAGGGAGCCCCTCTCCTCAGGGGTGCCCTGTGCTCAGAGTGAGACAAAGGAGTCTCGAGGTTACATTTAAAGGGGGGGAGGAAACCGAGGGTAGATACATTTGCTGACCAATAAAGACCCTCCAGGGATACAGCCTTAGGGGATGGACATTTGGGATAGCGTATAACATCATCCTTGGGGGGCTGACCCCTGGCTTCGGCTAATCACTCGACGGCTTTGACCGAAAGATCTAGATAGAAGGGATGGGATGCTGAGTGACTGACAGAGAGCCAGGGCGGGGATTTGGGGGATGATCTCAACACAGGAGAATGGTTACACAGGTAGAGGAAGGGGGTACAAAAAGGGGTACATCATCTGGGGAGAATAAGGGGGTACAAAATCCAACTATTACAAAGTATTACAAAGTATAAAAGCACGCTGCAACAACCTTAGTCTTCCCATTTCAAAGAATCTGCTCTGTGTTTTAATCCACTTGAACTATTAGTAGCTACAGCTATATACACCTAATACTTTTATAACAAGTCTGGAAAGATGTTATAGCACCCTCCCAGGACCTATAGAGGGCCTATAAGAAACCTGGAAGCAACTTGTTGCATGTGACAGGACAAGGAAGAATGGCTTTAAACTAAAAGAGACTGTCAGACTAGTCATAAAGAAGAAATTTTTCACTGTAAGAACAGTGAAACACTGCAACAGGTTGCCCAGAGAGGTAGTGGATGTCCCATTCCTGGAAACATTCAAGGTCAGGCTGGATGGGGTTCCGAGCAATGTGATCTAGTTGAAGATGTCCCTGCTCCTCGAAGGGAGGTTGGATTCAATGGCCTTTCAAGGTCCCTTCCAACCCAAACCATTCTATGATTCTAGGAATTGATCATATATACATATTTTTACAGTTCTGTATCAAAGACTGATTAGAAAAAAGATGTCAATCATCTTCCTAGTATTTCCTATACATTAACTACACTGAAAGTGAAAAAAAATTCGTATTCAGAAAAGCAGCAACATTTGTTGTTTTCTACCATTTAAATATATGGTATTTTGGCCTTTATTCTCTATCAATAATTTTGATGTTAGACATAACATATGGAAAGTTGTTTTGTTCCAAAAATGATCTGGAATTGTGAATTCAGTTACTGGAAGCTACTGACACATTCAAACTGTTTTATAAAAGTCACTCTGCTGCTGCCAAAAGGACAAGAGTCAGATTCTTATCACATCTCAGCAAACAAGGATAGATACTTCCATGGTCTCAAATCCTCATGGCTTAAAAAAAACAAACAACAAACTAAAACCCAACCAAAACCCATACAACCCAAAAAACAACCTCCCAGAAACTTAACAACAAAAAACCAACCCAGACAAGTAACAAGCAACACCCCCCAGGAAAACAGGCCTAAGCAGCTTATAAAAATAAAAAGAACCAACCCCAAATATTCCCAATCCATAGCAACCATAAAAACAGCATCAATTTCAGATCAGCATCAATCCCAGAAGGTAACAAATTCTGCTTTTGAATAAGCTTGCTAGGGAAGAACTTTCATGACAGAGACCAACACTCTACTCTGTTCAAAGAAGTTCAAGTTCACTGGAGAAAATCTTTACAGCATCTTAACCTGGTAAAACATTGACTGAATGGTAGTTACATAGTAGTGAAAATTTACTTGGGGAACAGTGCATAGGCACTAAACCATACACTTTTCAAGCATTTGTATTTAATGTCTCCAATGTTGTCCACAATTCACACAACTCAAGAGCTTCTCCAATACTAAAGCAACTGCAAGCCAATCCTGACATTAACAACACTGGCCATTTTTCGATATGCCTCTACTCAAAGCAAACTATTCAGTGATCAAAGTACAAGAAAACAAGAATGAAAATGTAAGCCAAGGTGACTTGCTTGAAGGAGGCAATTTATACAGCAACAGGTGGCCAGAACACAGATTTATGCTGCAGCAAGCTTGGATACTTTCAGAAGTTGTTTCTTAGCCCGAGAGACAACTCCTACACTATATGGCTCTCTGCCTCCTAGCTGAAACCTAGCAGGCCCACACATGCACATGAGTTTGCACTGTCAGAACCAAGAAATCAGAGTCTTTCAGTCAGACACAAGAAACTCAGAGTTTCAGCTGGTCTAAGGCTCAATTGCTCCTAGCAGCAGCAATCCTGACAGGTTCACGGTAATTTAGTGCAAGTAACCGATACGGTGGCTCCTGCTACCACAAACTGCTCTTCGGCACACTGCCCACCAGCAGCAATGCCAGAGTGAAACTCAAGAGTTCAGCTCAGTTTTCTTTTGCAAATCTTGTAATTCTGAGTTTAAAATTATAATAAAAAAATAATCAAGCGACCTTGATCAATTCCCTTATGTGAACAGAAGAGTCCTGAAATAATGAATTGATTACAGTACCTGTTGAATGAATTGATTTTAGTATCTTTTGCATTAAAATTAAAAAAAAAATAATAATTTACACAATTAAAATATTTTATACTGTGTTTAGAAAAAAAATCCCCAATCCTACCTTAATTATTATGGCTCCCCTATAGGCATTTGAAAAACAAATCAGTAGTTTAAAACGGAAAACTACTTTGCCGTTTATACATTTCTGCTTGAAATTTTAAAATCCTACTTACAAGTTAGTTCTGACTTTGTAAAGCAGATAAATTAGTAAATTGAGAACACTAAAATTAATCTATGTGCATAATCCTGGCAACTGATCAGTTATAATAGAAGTTGAGGACCACCAGCATCTATGACAATCACAACACAAGAAAAAGGAAAAGCAGATGAATTTTACCATGTTTTTGCCAGCCCATACAATCACTAACTCCAACTGACAGCTACTGCAGCCACAAGAGATGAACAAGTTCTTCAGCACTTGGGTCATGGGACAGCTGATCATCATCATCATCACAAATAATCTCCAAGCAATTTTTTAAACTCAGTGCTGAAAACCAAATAAAACTAAACTATCTGCTTCTTCTAAAAAGTTGTCTCATAAAAGTACAAGTTAGTGATAGTAAATAATAATTCCAAATGCCACTTCACAAAATAAATAAATTTGCAAGAAGCTAAGTAAACTGACTTACCTATCATGAAACATAAGAAGCCACAATAGGAACAGGGAAAGGGAAAAGGACAGGGTGGGGCTGAGCAAGACTATACATATACAACCACAACACTCCATTAAATGCACCTAAAATTTCATCAGTCACTGTGCCTTAATGAGGATTACAAACAATGACTTGGCAGACAGTAGGAAATACATTCTACCAAGAAGATTGAAAGGGGGGAAAAGTCACAGGAAAGAAGCAGACAAACTAAACTTTATAGTTGGTGTCAACTGGTAGAAATGCAATGGAAGTGGAGGTAAAAGGAATTCCCTAGAGGGCACTGGTTACCAAAGATTCATAAAGAAAAGGAAAGTAAGTACAATCCAGATTAATGTTTTAGGTGTCAAAGAAAGCCAACCAACAGATAACAGATCTAAGAAGGTTAACTATTCTCTCTATAGCAGCAAGCGTCCAGGGAAGAACAGAAACATTACGATATTTCCCTGTTAAAACTCTGTCCCCAAATCTTTGTGTGCCTCAAAAAGGGAACAAACAGTGCTATCAATGTTCACAAACCAAGTCACAGAATCAACAAGCAAAGGAACCCTACCCAGGAATGAAACACTACAGAGCAGCAAAGAAATTAACTGTTTTGTTTTGACTAAGAACTCCACTACATCCAAAGCACAGCAGCTCATTTTAGTTTGTAATAATTATTGTCATTAACCAGAACTCAAAGCTGTAATACCAATTAACCTTGCTATAGGTTAGCAACTGACTCACCATCGTATAGCTCTAACTTTATACCAGGCCAGGAACTGACAAGAAGACTTACAGTAAGAAAAAGTAGCAGCAGCAAAGACAGGGTGTAAAAAAAATCCAAAAATTGTCCCAAAGTTAGAAACTACTTCTTGCAGTACAGCTATGCTGTGTCACTGCCTATGCCCAGGACACTGATTCATTGCATTGAGGCAAAATGTAAACTGGCAAATGCTCCAGAGAGTGAGAACATTCTTTTGCTGAAGAAACACCTACAAAGCTGTTCTAGACTGCGTGCTGCCTATGCCTCCTTTATAACTCCCTGTGCAGTAAGTCTCCCCAGCTGTACTTTAGCAAACCCCTTAAGCCAGGTCCATTAAGTGGGAAGTATGGAAAGATCACACAATTTCTTTACATGTTTTTCTAACAACCCTGCAAACTTACTCTCACCCACTGCAACATGAATTCCACATCCTGCTCTCCAAATCTTCTACAAATCTTTTACTGCACTACCTGAAACTTTATCCTGTGTGTAAAGAAAGTAAGTTGGAGAAAACTGATATAGTCAACACGGAGATCATGATGCTTCATAAATACCCCTTTTAAGCCTTGGGCTACCTATACCAGAACAAAGCTTCCCACTACTGCCAATAAATTCACATTGGGGTTTTGTTGTTGTTGTTGTTGACTACTACTCATTCATAACCTCTAGAAATGTAGGGTTTTTTGCTTTTATATGTAAAACTTCAGAACTATGCACATCATTCCATTTATATTCACACCTTCCTAATTGTCTTCCATTACTTTCTGCTCTGCCCATGGTATTATCATGCTTTCCTTTTGGCCAGCTTTCATTAAGATTTCCAAGTGCTCTTCCACTCACCCACAACTTATTACCAAAAGCACCAGCTTCACTTCAGCTTAAATCAGTCGAAGTTACACCTGGCCACTCCTTCCCTCCATCCAACCTGTCCTCTTAATTCATCCTCTAGTTTAACTGCATCCCATAAGGAGTCATTTCAGAACACGGAACTAATGATCTGCCAGGGTCAGGTCCCTGCATGAGGTCACTTAGGAGTTAATTCCACACCAAAGAAATGACAGAAAGCAACACAAGCCCTGCTTAGTCAAAACAAAACAAAACAAAGGATTCAGCGTCCAAGTGAGCTGCATACAACTCGAATCATTCTTCCACGGACTCTTCTGCCATCACTCAGACAAAACACGTTGACAAGAAATCAAAAGCAGCAGTGACACAAAGGGCCACACGGAAACTTACAAGAATAAGAAATATTATGAGACAAGGGTTAAAAGAAATAAATGCTGAGAAATGCCCAAACTGACATTACACACAGAAATTTACAAAACCGACATGGAGATACAAAGTTGGCAGATCAAAAAACAAGCTGGCAGAATCGAATTTGATCCAGACTGTTATTGCAATAAAACGCACGAGAAATATAAAGAGAAAGACGGGTATGCAAATTGTGCCACAAATACACTTTCCATGTAAAAGACCTAGGCGGCTGTGTGTAGCCTCGAGCTACCTACTGCCGAAGTAACGCTAAGGTTTAACAAAAACACAAAGCGCTCTTTTATAATGAGCTCCGCGCGAGAGAAGGCAGCCCAAGAAAGAGATTTAAGTGCCATAACACGCCTGTGGATTAAAGTGCCGTAACACGCCGAGGAGCAGGCACCTCACAGCAGCAGCAGCGCCCGGAGCGAGCGGTGCGGAGCCCCCGGCCACGGCATCTCCCCGCCCTCCCGCACCCGAGCCCCCGCTCACGCGTGCTGGGCGGGAACCGTGAGCGAACACCCAGCCACGAGTCCCCGCCGCAGGGACAGTCCCCGGGACAGCCCTCTGGGCCCTCCCCTGCCGAGGGCCGCCCGAGGGCCATGGCCAGCCCCGCACTCGTCCCCGTCCTCCCGGGCTCGGTCCGGCGGGACCCGGGAGCTCCCTGCGAGCCGCGGCCGTGACTCAGGGCCGCCGCCGCCCCGCTCTACCTGCATGCCCGGCGCCCCGGGGTCCACGCCGGTGTCCAGCACGGCCAGCAGCACCCCCCGCCCGTCGAAGTCGGGGAAGCGGGCGAGGAAGGCGGCGGCGCCGGTCTCCTTTTTTGGCAGGAGCCCGTGGAACGGGAACGGCTCCTCGGCGGCGGCCGCCATGGCGCGAGACCGGGGCGCGGGGCCGGTGGGGACAGGCTGCGAGAGGCCACGGGAGGGCGGCGCATGCGCAGTGCCGCCCTACCGGCCCGCGGGGACGCGCACCCCCTCGCGGTCCGCGGCGCGAGCAGCACCGGGGCTAAACTGACCAATAGAGCGCCGAGGAGGGCGGGGCCTGCTGTGCAGACAGCCAATCACGGGAGGCACGCGTTCCACACGCCGGGGCTGTGGCGGCCACGTCCGGCGGCGGCGGGAGCCGAGGGCACCTTCCAGCGCCGAGGCCGCGGGCGGGGCCGGACCCGCTCCGCCCCGCTCCGCCCCGCCCCGCCCCGGGGCTCCCGGCCGGCAGTGGGCCGCGGCCGCGGGCTGCGGCCCTGCCCGGCGTCCTCCTCGTCGAAAACGGAATTACGGCATCACTTAGCTTGGAGAAGACCGCTGAGATCATCAAGTTCAAGCTATGACCGAACGCCGTGGCACCGAGTGTCAACCAGACCATGGCACTGAGTGTCAAGTCCAGCCTTTCCTTAAACACCTCCAGGGACGGTGACTCCACCATCTCTCCGGGCAGCCCATTCCAATATCTAATCACGCTTTTTGTGGCGAATTTCTTCCTGGTGTCCAAATGAACCTCCTTGGCACACGTCTTGCGGCCGTTTCCTCTCAGGCGGCCTCTTGGTGCCTGGGAGAAGGGGCCGACCCCCGCCTGGCTGCACCCTCCTGCCGGCTGGTTGTAGCCAGTCGTAAGGTCTCCTCTGAACCTCCTTTACTCAAATAACCGATGTGCAAACATTTATTTAGTGATTTTTTTTTCTTCTTCTTTTTCTGCTGATTCATTGTTCAGCATAAATAGGCCCCGCGGTGGCAGTTACTATTTAGCAAAGAGCGGGAAAAAACCCCAAAACCAAATACCAACCAACCAACCAAAAAACTCCAAACAAACAAACCCCTCCAATCACACAAAAACAAGCAAACAAACAAATCAAGGAAACCCACAAAAACCCCAACAACAACAACAACAAACAAACCCAAAAGACTGCATAAAGGGGAAAAAAAACCCCCATCAAACCAAAAAGACTACCTAAAGGCTATAGGAAGCTCAAAATAAAAGTTTTGCTCAAGTTCTTAAGGGAAAATCTCAACCTTGAACAGAGATCAGAGGTTTCAAAGGTATTTTTCTAGCTTTCATGCTCACATACAAATTTGCAAAAGAACCTGAACTATGGAGTACCAGAAAACACACACAGAATGTCTTTTGGAAAGATGCCTTGTTTGTGGTGTCTAACATGTGCCCCTTCAGCCATTTTAGCTGGTAATAAGTGTAAACCTGGTGGATTTCTGGGGGATCACTTGACTTTCTTCAGACAAGTTTCTGTTTAGAGTCACCTTGGCAGACAAAGGTATTTGTGAGTTCACTGTAAAGCAATGGGGATTTTGACTTCTGAGTTCTTCTGTTTGTGTATTTTTTATTTCACAGATCTGATGAGATTATTATTGAACGTTTGTCAGACATTAATCTTCATTGAAATGGAGCTGGCATTTATTCCTTCACTAGAGGAAGTGGGAGAGGGTTGCTAGCAAATAGGGGTACTTCAGTTTTTTCCCCATTTTTTCAGCTACCATCAGCATTGTCTTCCAGCTCAGCAATGGCTTTAGAGATCCAAGTGATTTTTATGTGAGTACTAAAATAAACCTGGAGAGCACTGCCTTAAAAATACACAGTATTAAAAAAGTGAAAGCTGTACCGTATGAATGTAGTCTGTAACTCAATCTGCTTCCCACTTTGGTTTTCAGTCATAAATCAGAATTTTACATTTTGATGTCTAGATACCATGTGTTTAATTTTCTTAGAATGCTGATGGTGTCTCACTGCCATAATCACATTTTTTTTTAATTGCGTAAAACTTTGACTGATCTTCTACAGTGGAGAGAATTTTTCTGGCAGGGTGGTTGTTCACTTGTTTAATATCTAATTCACTGATCATTTGAGTTTAGTTTTCCTTCTGTTTATCACTGCTAGTGCACCTCAGTGGGAGAAGCTTGTATTTCTGGTAGCATGTTGACATGAACAGAAGTCTTGTATGTCCTATTCCTAGTGTACTTTGAGACATTAAACTACAAAAAAATTCTCAAAATATTTCACATCCCATTCAATGAAAAAGCTCTATGTTATAATTTGGAAACATTTATTACTAGCCCTGAGAATTTCTTCCCCATTCAGTTGCCTTGGTCTCAAAGTACCACAAACAACTCATCTAATTAGCAGGTACATATTGTTCAGGTGTGTATAAATTATGTGCACTGCCAAGTAGCAGGACAGGTTCTGCAGGAAAACCCAGGATTTGAGGAAGGTGTGCCAATCAACCTTTAACAGACTTGAAAGTGATACCATGAAAAGAAAAAAAAAACTTAATTTCGGTGACAACCTTCAAAAAGTAGCTGTTTTGTTAATTGTATGATTACAACTGTAGTGTTAGGGCATGAGCTTAAGGATAAAGTTGTGCATCTTACTGAGGCTCTGCAGATCCTGAGCATACTGAGAATTTTGGAATTTTAAACTTAATCTTGTTCTTCTCAGGTTTCTTATGTTTAGTGTGCTAGGTCAACAGCTGGACTAACGCTCCCAAGTCCTCCACTAAAACATGTCTTTAGGCACCACATCTTAATTTATTAAAATACTTCCAGTGATAGTGACTCAACCCCTTCCATCATGGGCAGCCTGTTTTAGGGGAAAAACTTTTTATCAGGACTTGTAGCAATAGGGCAACTAAAAGAGGGTATATTCAGACTAGATATAAGGAAAAGTTTGTTTTACAATGAGAGTGGGGGAACATTGTAACAGCTTGCCCACAGGAGGTATGGCTGCCCCATCCCTGCGTACATTGAAGGTTAGATTGGATGGAGCTCTGGGCAACCTGATCTAGTTAAAGATGTCCCTGCTCATTGCAGGGAGATTGGACTAGATGGCCTTTCAAGGTCTCTTCCAACCCAAACCATTCTATGACTCTGTGAACATCTGACCAGATAGCTAGATTTGCATGGGCATGTGATGCTCCAACAGATTCTGCTCTGAATACTCCCAATATGGATGTGCTTCTAGGTCTGCATCTGAGACCTGGCAAAGCTGTTCTGGTCTTGACAGCCTGAGTGATTCCTAATATTGCTCACGTGTCAGGCCTGTCAGGATATGGAGCTGGCCAGCGATCACCCTTGATTTCATGTGCAGCCTAATGCACTGTGGATGGGAAGGCTGGGGATATCTGCTGCATCTTCTGCCTGATATTATACCCAGCAGTCCCATTCTGGGCTTCAAATCTCTTTTCTGAGTACGCATCTTTCTGCAAATGAAATGCTCCAGCTGCTGCAGGGTTCTCTCTGAGTCAGGCAGTTCTGTTTTGCATGGAAATATCCCAAAGTGAACCCGAAACAATATGACCTAATATCTTTCCAGTACAGGCTTTGACATGAATGTAGAAGTACTGGGCTGTTTGTTCTTTCTCTAATTAATGTTAAATTATTCTATTCAAAGTATCAATTGTAGTTGCGCACGAACTGTTTAAATTTCAGTTGCAGCAATTACCTTAGTCACTGTGTTTCAGATTGCACCCACTCCTTCTTTCAACCCTGCCTGAGTTACAACATGTGGAGAGGAGGAATCATCCTACCACTTAGACCGTGAGAGGAGGTGTTTGATCAAATTGTATTAGGCAAGGCAGGCCACTTCAGTGTTCTGACTGAGGTCATTAATTACCAACGGGCTCAGTAGATACTCTTCCTTATTCCCCCTTTATAAGGGAGAACTGGCTTCAGAGAATAATGGGAATAGACGATCCTTGAATGAGGTGGATGTCATAATGTGACAATTCCTGCCATTGCCTCTGTCTCCCTTCCTTTCCCATTGGCTCTTGCTATTGCTGTGTAAGCATCAACCAACACAAATCCTCCAGAAGAAGCAGTTTCCCACTCCTTCCCAGCCTGATCCTTGGCCATTCTCTCTCATTCTTCTGCTCCCCCAGTCACTTGTGCTGTTGTGGCTTCTTGATAGAACTGATAAAGGAATAAATCTGGCTGAAAACTATTCCACATAAGTGGTTTGGAGCTGGTATCTGAGACAGGGTGCTGTACCGCCTCTTCCATGCTTATGCTGGTGAAGAGTAGAGATGATCCAGCACAGTACTCATCAGGTAAACACACCATGGAACTAAGGCACCACATGAGGGAACTTGGCCACTGCACACTCTGTCAGGGAAACTGGATTTACAGGATTTGGGTTTTGGGGTTTTTTTTACCAAGTTCTGTACTGAGCCTTCTGCAAAGAACCTGCATAGCTACAAGCCTGTGTAAATTTTTTTGTGTGTATCTAATAAAGGTTTTCAAAGAAGGCACATCCCAGTTCTTTTTCCCTTATTTACTAGTGAACAGTTCAGCATGGACAAGGTTATCAAATCTGCAGAGTGAACCTTTCAATGCTCTTTCTTCACAAAGAGGAAAACATTTACTCATCTTTTAGTCTTGATATCTAACCTTCCCTAATGGACAATATGTCTTTAGCTTTGTCCTCTGGAAGTTATTTACTTGATTGGGTCAATTTGCCCTTCCTTTGATAAATATAAAATAAAAAGATCATCACATACATACAAAATTATGAGGTCATTAGTGAACAACAGCTGGTGTTACTCTCCAACATAATCATATTTCAAGTATGTCTGTCAGTTACCAGAATGAATTCTTATTGTTCTGTGTGACAGACTCTTGTGGCCTAGCTAATGTCTTTGGGGTGTGCTTTCATTTACAAACTTGTTTAAAATTGTCTGAAATTATATCCACGTGGGCAGGATATAATAAGAGGATATAATCGTAAGGGTAAGTTCATATATTGCTTTAAATACTTTCTGAACAATGCTGCTCAAAGAAACTATTAGTCCTGAAATTTCAAGAAGATAGGATTCATTTAGCACTGGCCTCAGCAAAAAGCTGCAGCTGCAGTTCAGTACCAGTTGAGCCTCAAACATTTAGTGGTCTTCTGTGGCAAAGTTGTTAGTAGGGTTGCATTTTAAAAATATAATTCTGTGAGAAC